TAATAATATAATAATGAAGAGAGAGAAAAATATTTCTTTTTGATGTAAAATTTGGTGCAGTGGGTTGGAGTTGATTTCTACTAAAATAGTGTTGACACCAAATTTGATGTAAACTTTGGTGTGTGGGTTGGAGATGCCCTAAGGAGTGTTTGATTGACGGTATTAATATGCCCAGATTGAGTTATGCATTTATACAATGTTTGGTTGACGGTATTAAGATGCCCGAATCGAATTATGCATTTATACGATATTTGGTTGACGATATTAATACGCCCGGATCGAGTTATGTAGGAACATATTATGTTAATATAGGATAGCGTGTGTAGAAAAGATATTCATGTATTTGCAATGTAGATGTAAAAGTAGCTAAAGACAATGCTCTTGGAGTGTTGACTCATTTGGTAATATACTAATATTGTATAAGTTTAAGAGGGAATTTTGATAATTTTTTCAACTTGTGAAATTTTCATGTTTAGTGAAAAAATGCAATTTGAGAAATTTAAATTGCATGTTCAAACGAAACTTTGATGTTGAATTAATCTGATTTTAAATCACGGTTTCATATCATATGTGACTTTGAATCAATCATGATTTCATATCATATGTCAAATAAATTTTTAAATTGGGGTGAAGAAAATACTATGTCAAAACGAGCCTTTAAATTAGGGCAAAAAAAATACTATTTACAGAGTTTTTTTTTTGATGAAATTAAAAGAAGTTCTTAACACAAATTATAGCCAATATATCTTATTAATGGAAATAACTGTGGGTTTGAATGAAACTAATTCCAAACTAAAATACTAATAGAATAGTACTAATTCCACATGATTTGTTATATAGAATTCAAATTATAAATACATTATCTTCCCTCTAGTTGGTTATTAGTTTCGTTTCCAATTTCATTAATTTTCATAGCAAAAAATAGTGACAATTTATGTCTCATTTATTAATCAACAATGTAATTATCATTTTTTCCGTTATCAAGAACAATGCTGAAGTTTGTCGTGTTTGATCAAAACCTTGATAGAGCAATGCATGTTGTGTGTGAAAGCAAATGTGGTTCAATAAAAGTAGTTGTCTAAATTCGATATTTAATAATAATAAGAACTAATGCTAGTAGTTAATTCAAGTTAATAAAATCTTAGCCATGTGTTTGCAGTACCTTACATTAGATTTTATTGTAAGAAATTTTATTTATTAATATGAAGATTAATGAATAGTTTGATTCTAATTTGATGTTGTATAATTTAAAAAAATTGTTTTATTTTAAGTATTAATAAATCATAAAAGAAGAAGTAAAAACTAAAAGCTAAAATTTAGCAAGAGTTGGATGAGTTAGGTTATGAATGCATTTTTGAGTTCAAGTAACTTTTGTGTGGGTTGATAACCATTTCAATTATTAACTAAATCAATTTCGATACATTCAAATTCAAACCGACCTTCCATTTGACATCCATGGTTTAAATAAGGCACGTGAAAGAACAAAGTGCCTCAAATGGAAAACTTGACCATCTTTAAGATATAAGTTAGTTTTATTATAATTTATAATTGTATTTATATTATATTACAATTATTACAAAACCGTTACATTTTTAGAGAGAAAAAGTGCTACAAAATATAATGACTATATGTATTTTACTACACAACATGATGATAAAAAATGAGCATGATCTTAATACACCAATTAAAGATAGAGGTGGATCTTTGAGGACATGCACAATTAATATAAATATTTCTTTTCACTATTAAATCATCCAACTTTGAATTCTTAAATTACATTTCAACATATAATGATAACCTAATTGTATACCTTTTTTATGTTGACGTTATATGTAACTTGTACTCTTTCGAAATTTACCTAAATTTGATGGTAAAACAAAATTGTATACCTACAATGCACCTAATTTAAACTCACAACATAGTATATCACAAATTCAAACTAATACAATGCCAATCAAATTTCAAAATTACAACTAAAACAAACTATAAAATAAAAATATATCTAAAATATGAAGAATATATAAATTCTTCTACATGAGCAAATAGAGAAAGACCATAACACCCCCAAGAGCAGTAACAAAACATGAAAAAACAGAAAGTACTGTGGTGGAATTAATCGCCGGTGGGCCCAAGAAATCCGAACCCCACCCATCTCCACCGTCACCCCCACCACCACCAACAGCCGGAGACGGTGAAATCTCCGGTGCAGACGCCGGCGAAGAAATTTCAGAAGGGTGCATTACACGAATAATGATTCTTTGGCCAAAATTACAATTATTTTTCTGGCCACTTATGAAATAGAAGAAGCCAGGATGGCTAATTTTGTAAATTGTCTCTCCATTTTCAAATTTGGAAATTGGGCTTGTTGTGTTGCAGTTGAGATAATTAGCCGGAGTTACTTCAAGTACTGAGTCGCCTTTGTACTTGAAATCTGAAAAAAAAAAAAAAACGATAAATTAACTTAAATAGCCATTCACTCAATAAAAAAAACGAAAGATATATAATATATACTACATTTATTGATTAGTAACTGTAAATATTTTTGTCTAAACATGCAAATATGTAACTTCCCCTTAAAAATGTGTAATTTTCAACATTATTTGATATTCTAACAGGAACGTTACATGTGATATGTGTGAAATTTTTAATATTAGTTGAAAAAAGAGATAACTAAAGCTTACAAAGAGTATCTCCGATATGAAATCGATTTCTAGCAGCCCATTCATTATACGTTTCAGATTCATTACCAATCGGTTTAATCCAACCAATTTCACCACCAACTCGAAACTGAAAAGATGACACGAAGATATTCGAAACAAACATGAACGTAACAACAAGAGAGAGAACGAACACATTAAATCGAAGCGAAACTTCAAAATTAGTAGCCATAACTAGGAAAATAATATGAGCTTAATTGGGTATTTAAAAAGCAAAAGGATGAAATTAATTAGTAAGTGCTAAATAGTTCTCTGTTCGAGTGTAATTTTTTTTGTGTGTATATATAGTGGGATTAATTAGTTATATAATGACAGTTAATTAATTAGTGGATGGGAGAAGTGGTAATTAGTGGGTTTAGTCAGTTTTTTAAAAGGCTTAACAGTTAACATTACGTGACTTATTGGATGATTAATTAATTTTCATTACATGTGAATTATTAGTAATTGAGTAGATTCGACAATTATTAAGTTAAAATTCTGAATCTGCTCCTAGTAAAGTACTATACGTAATAGGAATTGCGAATGATAAGTATTTTATCGTTTTTAGTTGTAAGTTATGGCGTGAGTTCTTAAACTAAAGTTGTTTTTCTTTTTTAAAAAATGATTTTTTTAATACAAATTTGAATTCATTAAATTCAAAAACAGATGTTCTAGAAAAATAAATTTAGACAAAACATCATTACATTAGGATTTTCTGTTACATTGAATTCAAACAAAATCTGTATTTGACTTTGAATTCAAACAATTAAACGTTGACAGATTTGTTTGCCTAATGTTACAACTTTGACTAGGAAACTCATGAAATTAAGTGTTAATTAAAAATGTACGGGCAAATACATATCATATATTTATTGATTTAATATAAATATTAATATAAATTTTTAATATCACTTTTTTCGCTCTTACTTAAAAAGCTTTTGTATTTTTGACAAAGATTCAACTAGCTAAATTTTAAAACATTCGGTCGATCATAATTTATAAATTCAGTGGTCATAGGAAGAATAGACTAGACATCACACAATTTTAGCTTATCGATAATATGATTTTAGATAGGAGGGTATGAAAATCACATATCAAGATAGAAGATTAGTAGGTACGTAGTTGAGCCTTGCCTCGCTTTTCGATAAATTAGACATAGTGGGAGTTCGGTAGCACTGTGTCTGTGGTAGTATTAGTTGTATACATGTAATCTCTTGCTTTTGATATATGTTATTATTTGTTGTCTATCGTGTCTCAGTTACCGTATTATGATATAATTTACATGTTTTCTTCACTATCGTAATTTCTCTTTTTCATAACTACTTTGATTTGCTTCACTTTAGTGAATTGGTAGTGTTTTGGCAATAATCTCTCTACCTCCACGAGGTAAAGATAAGATATTGCGTTACACTCTTTCCATACACTATTTCTGAATTACACTAGATATGTTATTATTGTTGTTATCTATCATACGAAACATTATTTAAATTATATTATTTTTTAAGTTATAATCAAATCTATATTTAAACGTTTATTATATTAATCAGGTCAATAAAATTCGAATATATATAATTAATTTTAAAATTGAACTAGAAAACCAAAGTCTTCACAACATCCACTTTCTTAAAACCGTACAAACGAATGATTTGAGTGTGAACCGTGTGACTTGCTTGGAGCTTAGTGCACACTTTAGTGCTAAGGTGTCAATGTCAATGAGTGATGGCTTCAAGTCATTTGGTGGTAAATAATTCAGTGCAATCGTATAAGTAGAGTTTGCCAAAAATAAAATTTATGTAGACATTATTTTCATTTTGAAAAATAGTCATTATTTTCGATATAATCACTAAGTTAAAAGTAATTACACATAATATATATGTCTTTTAATAATTGAAAACAATTTTAACTTAACTTGACACGAAGCTTAATAAAATGAAGAAGATGTTGTGGTTTAATTAAAGATATATCAAATGTACCAAAATGACATCTAATCTTGTGGTCTTAAAATGTCACATGGAAATTGAAATTAAAGAATTGTTAAAAAAAAGATATTTTTCCTTAAACAGAATAAAAAGAAAAGTAGAATTAAAACGAAAGAACTAATATTTCATATCCTAAATTTCAAAGATATCCATTTCTTTTTCAAATTTTATAACAAAGTAAACGGTATCACATGAATCACATAAATTGAGACAAATAATATTAACATTAGTCACGTAAATTGAAACAAATAATATCAATATTAATCACATAAATTGAAACGAACGGACACGTCTCATACTTTCATCGTGGCGGCTTTCGTAATGGAATGGTAACCAAATGATGCAACCAACTAATTAATTGGCTTATTTGTTGGGAACATGTTAGTGGAATGCTCATCATTCATTTACGCATACGGCGCACACTACTTTCTTCGTTGCTACAGTACGCTCCACCCCCGCCAATTTATATTCAGTATTCAATTCATTCCAATTTCACTTGCAGAGTTCTCGTTCTCAGCTGAAAATTCCATTTTCAAAGTAATATTTTATCAGTGAGTGTGAACATTATCGCTATGAATTTACAATTCTCCAGTTTTTTTTGTTCAATTATGTACCAATTTTACTCTGTTTACTATAAATTTGTTTATATATTTTTCCTTTTTCTAGATTTTACCTTGAAAAATCGAGTTCGTTTTCTCTGCATTAGTGATTTGGAGCAATTTTTTATCAAACAGATTGAGTTGAAACTCTGCTTTTCGTAATCGTATGAATCATTTGTATCCATTATAATTTGTTTTTACATTTTTCGTTCTTCTAGATTTTACCTCGAATAATCGAGTTCAGTTTGTCTGGATAAGTGATTTGGAGCAATTTTTATCAAACAGTTTGAGTCCTTGGCGTGAAATTCTGTTTTTCGTAGTCATATGGATTATATGTATCCATTTTACTCTATGATTTGTTTTTATATTTTTCATTCTTCGAGCTTCTACATCAGAAAACTAGTTTAGTTTGTTAAGAAAATTTATTTCTGTGATTTGGAGCAATTTTTATCAAACTCCTTCGCTTGAAATTCTGCTTCAAGTATTATCTCAATTTGTAATCGTATGAATCATATGTATCCATTTTACTCTGTTCATTATAATTTGTTTATACATTTTTCGTTCTTCTAGATTTTACCTCAGAAAACTAGTTTAGTTTGTTGAGAAAATGTATTTCTGTGATGTGGAGCAATTTTTATCGAATAGTTGGATCCTTTGCGTGAAATTTTTGCTTTGAGAATTATCTCAATACGTAATTGTATGAATCATATCTATCCATTTCACTCTATTCATTATGATTTGTTTATCTTTTTCTTACTTGGACTGACTGTGAAAAAGCTTTTCATATAAGCGGAATTCGTTTTTATTACTTAACTCGGAAAACTAATTTAGTTTGTTACGGATGTATTTCTGTGATGGATGAAGTCATTTTCCTGCATCTGTGATAGTGAACAATTTTATTGAGCTTTTTGTGTGTTTAGCCATAGTTTTAGCTAATGCTGTACTAATTTGGAGTTGAGACATAGTTGATGATATGATCTCCATTTTTGTTAAACTAGAGGTGTATGTGTGGTTAGGACGCATCCGATGTTAAGTAGGAATAAAATGAGCTATGGGTTCGTTGACAAGTTCCGAACCTATAAACTTCAAATCCTGGTTTTACCTCTGCTTTATATTAATCCAGTGATTGTGTTTTTCAGGCGTCCAAGTAGAAAATTCTACTGCACAAATTTGGACTAAGTTGAGATCCTATATATGGAGAAACTAGTATTTCAAAATGGTGTCAAGAAGGATCAGTTGCTTTCTGCAGTAAATGATTATCATGGTGGAGTTATAGTGGAATTGAAGGAGCCTATGGACCCCAATGTCTTTCAAAACATGCTTAAAGCTTCATTATCCAAGTGGAGGTTGCAGGTATGCTGCCTTTTTTCTTAGTTATGAGTAAAGATGAGCATTATCTTGATGTTGACTGTCCACCTGTTTGTAGCTTCCCACTGAATTATGGTTGAAAAGTAGAACCACCGGACACCACAATCGTATTTAAATGTGTTGAGAATTTAATTAAATAATAAAAGTGCGCTCTTTTTAATAGCTTAATCTTTTAGATGAGATGATCACACACTTTAATATGGTATCAGAGCAACAGGTAGAGGTCCTGTGATCGAATCTCACCGCCACCCATATCAAAAAGAGTTTCCACGTGCGCCCTTTCTAACAGCTTAAGCGTTTAGATGAGATGGCGTGTGTTACACCACATGTTTCCCCTTCCTTTAAACCAGGAAGAAAAGCACAGTATGAAGAATTAAGTGAATCTTCTTTTAAACCAGGAAGTTATGTTACCATTGTGTTTGTGGTTGATGTTGTATAGATGAGAAGCTTCCATTGACAGCAGTGGTGGTGAAAATTAGCTTTGGAATTTGACTCATCAGTTTTCCAGTTTGGCTGACAAGACTCTTGCAGTTTTCATAAGAACTAGGTTCCTGGTTTCTTTTATGGCTGTTGGACAGTCTTCAACTTGCATGATGTTGTGACCTCTTACTATCAAAATGAGTTGTGTGGCCAGAATAACTTTCTAGTTTAGAGTTTATGATATTATATATTTTGCAGGGGAAGAAGGGTGTCTGGATTAAACTACCAATTGAACTCGTAAATTTGGTTGAAACTGCAGTTAAGGTAATTTCACTTTACTTTTCCGAACTCGAATATGATAGCGTTCATGTTGACATAAGGAGGCTCACGGGATTCCATTTGTACACTTAAATGTGTCCTAGACTTGCTATTCTTACTAGAGACTTAAAATCTGTACCAAATGCAATATTTGAGTCAGCAATAAAAACTTCGCAATAGAAAAAGCCATTGTATGATGACATTGCAATATATCATGCTGTTGTTTAAGATGTTGGAGGTTGAAATTGGATATCACCCTTGATACTGAATGTACGCCATTGAAATCTACTTTAAGAAACTATATAATAATATCGTTTCACGAACTCAAGTTCTTATATCATACTTTAGGTTGAGGAAAATATATCACTAGCTTTGCTATGAAATTGACCCAAATGTTTGACATTGACTTCAGGAAGGGTTTTGGTACCACCACGCGGAACCACATTACCTAATGCTAGTGTATTGGATTCCTGAAACTGAGAATACCATCCCAGCAAATGCCTCACACCGAGTGGGTATTGGCGCTATAGTCTTGAATGACAAAAGAGAGGTAACTCAGATCTATTTTCATTGTATATAAATCTTTGCTCCTAATAATGTGTTCATCTGTGATTGTTCTGTTTTTCTCAGTATCTTACTCCCTGATTGAACGGTTACACTTCTATTACTTTAATGTGATATAAAAAGCATGCACTTATTTCTTGAAATGGCTTTTCCAGATGATTACATGTTGCAACTAATCAATTAGTGTCTATCAATCATGCCCAAGCTTATTTTCATTTCATGCCTGTGAAAAAAGCTTCCCTACACTTCAAATCATTCTACTCAAGTCTGGATTCTGCGTCACTTGTCAATTGTCATTTGTTATGTACTGGTAGATTAACTGACCTATCAGAGATCTCTGTGCCTCAATTGTTTGATTGTACATTAATTTTGTGATGGAGGAAGCACATTTTGATCACTAGAAATATTTCGTGTCTCGGACCACTATGCTTGAGCATCTTGGTGCTGATTTCCAGTCTAAGTTTTGGAAATCTTTTGCTTTTAGTTGCTTGTTGTCCAAGAAAATAGCGGCAGATTAAAGGGAACTGCTGTATGGAAGATCCCTACTGGCATTGTCGAAGAGGTATGCACATTAGTTGGAGCTAAAGTCAGCTGCACAACTAGTCACATGCCCTCTAAACTGTATTTTGAGCTCTTATTCTGCAGGGCGAGGATATATTTGAAGGTGCAATAAGGGAAGTAAAAGAAGAAACAGGAGTAAGTTTATTTAATACCGAAAGCCACATAATCAAAATAAACCAACATATGCCATTTTCCTGCTGTACATGTGACTGTTATTGCTTCTCTAAGATTTGTCGGATTCCATTTATTGCAGATTGACACTGAATTTATGGAAGTACTTGCATTCAGGTAGGGAAACTGTTGTCATGTTGTTTATGTGAGGAATAACTATATAATAAGCTACGATCACAAAGGATTATAGATTAGAGAAAATTGTATCTTATGCTTTATAGTGATCCCATAGACTCCTTTTGCCACCACATTCCCTTGTTTGAATCAATGTAGACTTAGCTAAAGGACACAATGGAAGAAAAATATTTATATAAGTGATATCTACTAGTTGGGAATAGGTTTTATACTTGTTAGAGAAATTCTAATGTTATCATTATTATTACTATAAAACTTATTTTTTTCCACTTCTATTTTATTTGGTACAATTGGAGTTGAGCTTACATGAAGAAGTGAGGATTCACATAACCGGTCCTAACTTGTTTTGGACGGAGGCACAGTTGTTATTAGTGAGGTCACTAATGCCATAGAGCTTGAAAAAGAAAGGTTCTAGTTTAAATTAAGGCACTTTCTCTATGCCCAACTATATATCATGACTGTTTTCTCCACCATGTTATTGCTTTAATTACTGTGATACATTATGGCTAAAGAAAAGGAGAACCAGTAAATATGCAAAAAATATCTGAAAAGATGATACTTCCTTTATTCCAAATTGAGTATTTTCTGAGAATAAGTGCAACTCAACTTATTCATGAGGGAAATCAGAAGTTGATTAGAGTGTGTGTTTGGAGAATATATTTGTATATTCCGAAATGAAGTATACATTTTGCATATGTTATGGAAACGATTAGTTTCAAGCGCTACGTCTTTTAAAACTTTTTTGCTGATTAAATGGAACTATTGACAAGGAGGAAATGTTATTTGGAAAAGGAAGTAACATCTTGAATGACCAGAGGATTTTAGTGTAGAAGTTTCTTATCATATTCTAGACCTATAAAATGCTCCCCATTGTCTGGATTTCTGCAGTAATCACATTTCTATTTTTACAGGCAAACACACAAGGCGTTGTTTGGCAAGTCAAACTTATTCTTCATTTGCATGATGCGCCCTTTATCATTTGACATTCAAAAGCAAGATTTAGAAATTGAGGCAGCCCAGGTATGTCTTAGTTCAATTCTATAGATTTGTAACAGTATTCTCGAGTCAAGTGGCTGAGCTAAGCGTTCTAACAAGAGGATTTTTAAAAGTGTAAAAATGACACTTGAGATCTTCCCCAGGGTTTAGCTCTCAATTGGCAAAGGTTGAGGGACTTGTGTGCTAGTCACAAGTTCGAGATCTGGGCAAAGTGAACTAAGTCCAGTATTTTCGTAGAGAAAGGTAGAGGGTGGGCCCATCATCCCCGACTTCCAAAGTTTGTGATTGGCCATAGAGTTGGCTCTAGATGATTTCTTCGGTCATAAAGAGAATGACACTTGAACTTCTTCCTCATATCAAGGGAATTCAACAACTTATGTGTATACAAAAATATTACTTTTATCCTATTTGTGTAGTGTAACTATCTGATAAAGGAATTCAATTAACCCTCTTCAATACACTTGGCTATGCCACTACTCGAGTCGTAACAAATCTTAACATAGTGTTACTTCCTTTCAGTGGATGCCAATTGAAGAGTATGCAGCTCTACCTTTTGTTCAGAAACATGGCCTTTTCAAGTACATCAAAGATTTATGCTTGGTTAAGGCCGAAAGGAATTACCCGGGGTTTACTCCTGTGCCTATAACATCATTTTTCGATGCTAGCACGAGTTTCCTGTATTGCAACAAGGATGGTCTGGACCAAGAAAGCTCTGCAAGTTCATCTCTCAAGGAAGATTTGGAGATCGAAACTTGTAAGACTATTTTGATCTAATTTATAAGTTAGTATTTTCTCTAGTAATTGTTTCTATCCTCTACGATGAAATTATGTGTATTTTCAATTTTTGTTTAGTCATGGTCTCACGTGATTTTCTTTTCTTTTTGCCATTAACCATCCCATGTTCAGAATCAATTGGTCCTATTAATCGGGATCCCCTAGGACTGTAACTCAATACGTCTAATTAAGGGTAGAGGAACCTTTAGCATTTCACCCATGCTTTCCTCCTTAGACCATGCATAATAATGTAATATCTCTTCATAAGTATTTGAATATATATCAAAGCTTAAAGATCATATGATGCAATTGTTATTGGATGCACCTCTATAAGTGATGTTCAAATCTCATACATATATTGTTGTTTATTCCTTTCTTTTGTTAGAATTAGACCCACCAATGGGAGTTGGGTATGTCTAGTATCCTAACATTTGAGTCTGGAGTCTAAAGGGCAAAAAAAATTGACAAAAATTCAAGAAGGGCACATCAAAAAATTTTCTAACCAAAAGAGTAAAATCGCGATTTTGATTTGACGCTGTTTACAGATCAAAATCGCTGCCTTATTAGCGATTTTGTCCAACTTTTTTTTTTTTTTCCAGAAAATCTTGTCCGTGCAGCATTTTTGCGATTTTTAAAAAAAAAAATTGAAATCGCTGCTATGGCAACGTTTTTATAAAAACGAATTGTTTTTTTTTTTTTTGGAAATCGCTGCCTTGTTAATGTTTTTTTTAAAAAAAAATTTGCTGCCGTTGCAGCGTTATTATAAATTTTGTGGAATTTTTTTTTCTTTTAGAAGTCGCTACCTTGGCGAAATTTTAGTGGAACTTTTTTTAAAAATAAAATAAAATCGCTGCTAACGCTGCCTTGGCAGCGATTTTGGTGGAATTTTTTCTTTTTTTAAAAAAATTTCTGTCAACTACTCAACATCTAATTGTAAATTTTTTTTTTTTTTTTTTAAGTTGCTGCCTTGCAAATTATACTTGAAGTTTGAAGGGAGACTTCAACCAATTTATAAGAATTTTTTAAATGAAACGTGTGAACTTTTTCTATTTTTTAGGCATGCATGTGAGTTGAATTTTTTTTTTTTAATATGACATGTGAATGTTTGAACAATTAAAAAAAAAAGAAATTTGGAAGGAAATTTTGCTGCTTGTCAGTGAAAAAAATAAAAATTTAATACAATTTAAAAAAAATATAATTGGCCGTGATATTTATAAATAAAAAATAAAAAAAAAAAAATTCCACAAAAATCTTTTTTTTTTAATAAAGTTTCCACCAAAATCGCTGCAAAGGAAGCGATTTCTAAAAAAAAAATATTAATGAAAATCGCTGCCAAGGCAGTGATTTCCAAAAAAAAAATAATCATTTTTATAAAAACTCTGCCATAGCAGCGATTTTAATTTTTTTTTAAAAAAAATCGCAAAAACGCTGCACGAGTAGCAATTTTCTGGAAAAAAAAATGGAAAAAATCGCTGATAGGGCAGCGATTTTAATCTGTTAACTGAGTCAAACAAAATCGCTACGTCCTTTTGGTTAGAAAAAATTTTGATGTGCCCTTTTGGAATTTTTGTCAAAAAAATTTTCCCTTTAGGCTTCGGACTCCCTAACATTTCATGTGTTTTAATTGATCCCATATCATAATGCCTAGTAGAGGCATTAGATGCACGATCATAATGTTGGTAGAGGTGAATTCAAAATTTAAACTTAATGGGTTCAATCTTTGAAATAGTTAATACTAAGCTTATTGAATCATTAAAATTATGGGTTCTCATATAATATTTATTGATATTTTAGTACTTATATACTCTATTAATTATGAGTTGATGAACATTACCTTGTACTTATGTTGGTGGAAGATAGTAGATATCTGGTGGAATAGTAAAAGTGTGTGCAAGTTGATCCTGATAACACAGTCATTGGAAAAAAAGATGTCTTACTACAAAATCAATAGTTTTGGGACTTGTACAATATAGAATAAGGCATAGCTTGGTGGAAGGGAAAAGCTGATGACATCCTTTGCCTATTTGCGAAGGCAAAGAATTGTGTTCTCGTGTTTTGGCTCATGTAGCAGGGAGCTACATAGAGGATTAGAATCAAAGAATGAGATAAAGAACAAAAGTAACTTAGTATATTATTATTTTTATGATCGAGAAATTCGTTTGGAAATAATCCCTTGATTAACTATAGCATTCAAAACTCGAGAATGATGGGCTCTCTCTTCTCTATCCTTTCCAATTAAAGTACGAGAGTTGGGTCATTTGGCGCAATGACTCGAATATGAAACAACTTAGTTCTTCTTTTGTCTCAATTTATGTAATGTAATTTTAGTGGATACAAAGTTTAAGAAATATGGAAAGACTATAAAAAATACACCTTTGTGGACTTTTTTGCCAAATAAATTAAACCTAACTTGAATAAAATAATGTCCTTAAATGTTTGCCAAATAAAAGATGCATCACTCTTTGGAACATAGGGATGAATATTTTTCTCCACTGTTATGGTCTTTGGGGACTGAAAAAGTAACTTATTGAGAACCAAATGATTAATTTAAGCCTATACTACAATTATTGAATCTAGGCTGATGAATATATAACCAAAAACTAATAAAGCCAGCAGTCTTTCTGTTGCTTCATAAATACAAACTACATCTACCGTCTTAAATTTCAATTAATTATAGTTGGTATACATAGATGGCTAAATTTTTTAAAGGAAAAAACATATAAATGATTAAATTCGTTCTAAATCTCTTGATTATTATACAAATAATATTGTGTAAAATTGCATTATTTTTTTAAAAGTGAAAAACATATAAAATGATTAAATTCGTCCAATCTGGATTACTATACAATAGTAGCATGTGTAAAAGTAAAATGCATCCATTAACTTCAACTTTAGGTTGGATTTTGACCAACCATACTTGTATTGAATTATTAGCTGTAAAGAGGATGGAAGTGACGATTAATAAGTTGTGATAGTGTGGTCTAATAGTCGATAAGTTTTCAATTTATAATTCAATAAAGACAAATGATATTAGGTAACTTCTTTTAACGGTTAAGTTGAAAAATTGCTATTAAAATGGGGCAACTACATAATAACACGCAATAATACTGTAGAATAGAGAAAAAAAAAATTCAAGAAGTGTTAAAACAATGAATCGTACCAGGGAAGAAACATGCATTTGCTCTACTAGAAAGCATATGAAGATTTCATTATGGGTAAAATACGAATATCTATATTGGATTAAAAATAGAAAATATTTGATAAAATTAATCGAACTACAAAATAAGTCCCCATCTAATGCTGTAGACAACTATTTTCAGGACCACTAAAACATTGGCAGCTGTCAAAAACTCACAAGCAACGGTGCTTAAGCCATCTACCACTAACCACTCATGTGGTCCACTACAAAACCTAGAATGGAACACAAAGTTTTTAACTTTTTTTGGATTTAATGGAACAAAGTGGACTAATAAGGCCAAAATAAATAGGAGATCGTTTGGTTGGTGCAATAAAATAATATATCATGCAGGGTAAAATAATTTTATGCAATACTATTCTAATTTTATTATTCTTGTCTCACCGTTTTTCACTTATGATATCTCGCATCATTATTTAGGTGTTGTATTTCAATTTTTGCACTATTTGTTGGTTCATTATGTCGGTTGTTATACTTTCTACATTATTTTATTATTTTTTATACTTGGATTCGCTATACTCAAGTTGAGAATCTTTCAGATTCAGTCTATCTACCTTTACGAGATCACAACCCAACTTATAAAATTTCATTAAATATATTGTTGTTGTTATCCCACCAATCTAACAACTTCTCATAATACTTACCATACTAGATGGGACAGCTTTGAATCTCTTAACAAGAAATTTTGAACTTTTTTTTGGCTCTACTCCATAGTGCTTTGAGGCTACATTAATTCAAATTTACAAAAAAAAAAAAAAAAGTCTCATTTTAACCATAAAAGGTCTCCATTAGTTCAAATTTGCAACAAGAAAAGTCTCATTTTAAACAGAAAAAGGTATAGAACAAAATCTAACGAAATACACATAAACTATGAATAACACATAAACCCTAATTTCCAAACTCTAACTTGACGTTTGATTAAAAATGGAAGGATATTATATTATCCAACATATTTTTCGATTACAGGCAAATCTAAATTAATTGAATTATTAAAATTTAACTACCATTTTTTTAGGAATAAAATAAATAAGTGGATATAGATGACAGGGTGACTATTAAAAGTTTGAAACATGTAACAAGTCACAGCACAATATCCAAAAATATCACTCATAAATTAATAAACAAAATACACTAGTCCAAGAAACAACAAAGAACAAAATAATAAAAAAAGGAGATTAAAAAAACTCACAAAAACTCCTAGCTGTTCTATTACAAAAAGTACAAATAACAATTTGATAACATAAATAAACAATAATTATTTCACAATAAAAGCCCTATTAAATTTTAATCATATAAGAAAAAAAAAACTCAAAGCAATAAAAAGAAAAACCACATACTCAAAACTCCGGCAACCACTGGTCCAGATCTGCAACTAAACGCACTGTTATCATCCGCCGTCGAATCTGCAAAATCGTCACTGGGACCATCCGCCGGTGAGTCCGCCGGAGTATCAGCTGCCGCCGGCGCCTTGTGTTTCTTCTTCTTCTTAGATGGTTCAGGTGAATCGGCATCTGGTGCCGGTGCCGGCGCCGGAGTATCTGCAGCAGCTGAAGCCTTGAATAGTTCCTTAGGCATTAGAACTTTATTAATCGTGAAAATAGCAATAGGTTGTTCATCAATAAGAGTTCCGGTGATCTTCGCCGTCACAATCTTCGTCTTCAAAGTCACTACATCGCCGTCATTTTGAACAACGAAGTCATACTTCTTAGCTCCATCAGTAGCTAAAGTATTCATCACGCCATTGTTCGATTTCAAGCTCGCCATAGATTGATACACCGGAACCCCATGATACTCAAGTAACGATTGCTTCCCGTCGGCAGTCAGATTCTTAAACTTAGGCATAAAATTCTTCATCGCATCATCTCCGGGACAAAACACCGTTAACCCACCATCAGCATTCTCATCAAAAGTCTTCTCAGCAGGAGATTTCAACAAAGTTTCAGCAAAAACCCTACACCCATGAGCCGACATTAGCGAAGTCAGATTCATCTGACTCGGTTCCGGCGTCGGAGCTTCAGCTGAAGCAGACGGCAGCATCGTACTAATCTGAATAACAGATATATTATACGGTATCTCCTCAACAGATTTAACAAAAGTAGCCGGAAGTGTACCGTGATTCTCCGCCGGCCCAAATCCAACTTTCCCACCTTTCAGATCTGTAATGTTAACAAACCCAGTCGAACCGGGAGCTGAACCAGTTGCCTGAAACATAGTAGCAGCTAACGCAGTGCCATTAGTGATTTGATGAAGTTTCTTCGCACCGAAGTAATCTAAAAGTACGTGAAGAGAAATGACGTTTTTGATAGTGTAAATGGAGAGATGCTTAGAGAGAAGCTCCGCCATGCCGGCGTTGTCGACGGCGCAGACAGTGATGGTTTCCCGGCTGTTAATCTCGGCGGCGAGATGGGTTTCAGTTAAGTAATGGTTGAAAGTGGAAAATTGTGGGTATTTTGCTAAAATATGTGTAATATTGTGAGCTGAGGTTGTATGGGGTAAAAGCAAAAGAGCTAATGAAAGGACCACCGTGGCCACGGCGGCCATTGACCGGAGCTGCATTATTGCTAAAGAGAGAGAGAGAGAGAGTAAACACTGTGTGTGTGTGTGTGTGTGTGTGTGTGTGTGTGAAGAAGAGGGACAGTGTGCAGTATAAAAATAAAGAAGGATGGGTTTGGGGATAAAGTAGATCTCAAGTGTGTTGTGAGGTGGGAACAAAGTTTGAAAATAGTGGCACCCTTGAGATTACTCCATGCTTAATTAAGGTCTCGAGTTCAAATTTTAAAATGAAATAAATTACAATGTTGAGAGTGTTGTATTCAGAAATGAACCATTTAACGTGCAAAGTCAAATTTAATCAGTATCCAATTAGGATATTAATCACTGAAAGGTAATATATATTTACTATATATATTTAATATTTATTGAAACTTCAATGATAAGTTTATATATATATATATATTAAACTTCACGATAATCTGTTGCCGCTATAATCTTTACCACATCTTCTGTCTAGTTGATTCAAAAGGCGCTGGGGGATCAATCCTTAAGATTATTTGTGTGAATTATCACCCTCAAATTAACCTAGCTATTTTGAATAATATTTTATATATTTTAAAAATATTTATCAAATTTCACTTTTAAAACTCAATTTAATTTAGCATGGATGAACTTAATCTCTAAGATTTTAAATTTTAATATTTAAAAATTATATAACAAATATTATTAATTGTAACTCTATTCATACGAGTATGGTGGTATTATTCCCTTCGTCACATTTTAATGGTTGTTTAAACTATTTTCATATTTAGCAATAAAAATAATGATACAAAGTATAATTTATTATATTTTAGCTTTAATGACAATTAAAATGAGACATAAGTACAAAGTATACTCCAATAAATTTTAGCTTAAATGGCAATTAAAATGAGACATGATGAAGTGTATATTTAAAGCTTAACTTTTGGAGAACAAAATATGAATTAATATGGATCGTAGTGTGGTTGGGATTTTTTTTTACAAGCTTAATGAAAGGTCTTAGTTTCAAACTTAATATGAAAACAATCTTTTTTTCGAGCCCTAAAATGTGTGAATTTAAATTATTCAATAAGTATATCGAACATCAATTATATAAAAAATAACAACATATATATAGTATAATTCTATAAAATGGTGTATAAAGATGATAAAATATACTCAAATCTTACTCCAATAAATTAATAGAACATAATATGATATAAGTATGATATGAAGGCTTGTTTGGTTGGAAAATAAGTTATTTCAGAATTAGTTATTCTAAAATTGTATATAAATAAAAATAATGCTACAATCCTAAAATAAATTATCTCACAATTTTATCTCAATTAAATATAAAATAAATTTATTTTAAAATTAAGTCCATAATTAATTATCCTCTATCTATAGTAACAAATAAGCTCTATGGAGTATTGATGTGAGTATAAGGTATAATAATTTTGAGATAAAACATAGAATTATTATTTTATCATATATTTGATTTGAGGTATTAAGTAATTCTTGAATTATTTTTTCCATAATTTATAATTTAATAATAAAATAAGTTATCTCATATATATGATGGAATAACTTAACTTATTCCGAAATAGTTTGTTCCCAGCCAAACAGCCCCTACGTAAATTAGGTTTTAACTTACAGAGTGGCCGTTAAAGTGGGGGTATTGCTGTCTGATTCTTGTTTTCTTTTTTTGGTTATATTTTGATCCATTTCTGAAATTCGTGTTTCTTTTTTTAAAATTAATTAACTGCAAACGAACTTTTGCAAATAGCCACGGTAATAAATTTAGTTATGCTCCATAACTATAGTTTATATATTTATAGGTTGTAGCTACATGTTAAGTTGCCTCGTTTGTATAATTCGCGGGTACATTGTATAATTCAGTTATTTTTGTATAAACTCGAAATAACGAATTTATACAATTAGAAACATCAAAAGTGTAAACAGTTATACAAATTTTGAATTATACAAAAGTTATATAAATTATGTTATACAAATATCGAATTATACAAACGTGTGAGTTATACAAAATTAAAAAGTAGAGCCATATAATTATAGCTAAAATTAGATCCCAAATTGTAATTAAAGCAAATTATAGCTATGTTAAGTAATTAACTAATATACATATTTGCTTATACGTGTAATTTTCCCTTAAAAGATAAGTAAGTAGGGTGAAATTATAATATAAGAAAAATACGAGGGCCATTAAATGAATTCATGAATATTAAAAACATATTATTGAATGACTAATGTGGCCCCACCAAATCCAGCTGACATCTGGTGGCAATATAAAATCCACGTGTACATGACAGCACAACCACTGACGTGTCCACCGACAGACTCCATAAGCTTCTACAATTTTTTTTTACTTTTTAATAAAATTATTCAATACAAATTTAAATTTAATTAATTACTTCAATCTAACATATCTCTAATATTAAACAATAGCTAACGATAAATACATTCATTATTTCTCGCTTTCTATTCACAAAAATCTCTTCAATTATGAGTGTAACTTTATTTTTTTTATCATTCTTTTTTTTTCGATTCTCCGATGAAAATCGAAATATTATTATGTTGAAAGAAAAATAATATGTGAAGTTTTCAAATTGGAAATTGTTTGTGCTATGTCATGACATAAAATGACTACCTAATTTAAAAGAATAATCGACTATGATTGAAGACTTTTTGGTATATATTTGCCATTGAACAACTCATAATTAGTTGTGTGTTTAATGTCACACTATGAAATACCTACGAAATATGTGTCATAATGAATTCCTTGTACGATTCATATTAATGAGCTAATACAAACATGTTTCAAACATGTATAACTTCTCTATCTTCACGAAGTAGAGCTAGAGATTGCATATATCTATCATCTCCGACCTCACTTACGTAATTATTGGGTATTTGTTGTTGTTGTTCTTTGAGGTTTTCGATTGATTTAGATTTGAGTTATGTAAGATATAAATTTAAAGGTGAAATGCTTTCGGGGAGCATTTTTTTATATCCAAGACTTGAATCCGAACCATTAACTTAAGAATGAAGAAATTATATCCATCTAACCACATTTTCTCATGAGAGAGCTAAACTTATATTTACAAAATCGTCTAAATAAGGATTATCAATTTTATTCTTTTAACTTTAAAATGCTCTTTTTTAGACTTCAATTACAATTTTGTTTTTAAAACTTCCCAAACCAAGTGTGTCATAATATGAAAATTCCTTGTACGACTCATATAGTAATGAGCTAATTCAAACACATATACGTATGATACATGATTGATTTAGCTCATTACTATGAGTCGAACAAGGAAGTTTCATGCATGCATCATTTCTTTTGTTTTATACAAATTCAGTATTGGATATTCATCCTGTTATTTTAATTAACTCAGATTTATATCGTATAAGGTTAATTTAAGGGTAAAACACTCTTAGCTAGGATTTCTAGATACTCAAGAGTCTAAACGTGTGATTAAGGATGGAGAAATTCTATTCATCTCACCACAATTCTTAATGATTTTAACCAGCGAGTTCAATCTATAAATACACCATGGTCTAAATAAATTTTAGATTATCAATTTTATCTTTTAACTTTCAAATACATTTTTTTTTACTTTGATTACAAATTTGTTTTTAAAACTTGGTCAACTTCAATTAGTAAGAAATTCAAAAAGAAAGTTTTATAGACTTTGATCATTACGATGTAAAAGAGTTTTTGAGGCCCAAATTCAGTCTTATCATAAATAGTTTTTTATACTTTTAAACTACTACTATTTCTTTCTTTCTCATATCTCCTATCTTATCCATTGAACGGTAAATATCGAGACATGTTTAAAATACAGTTATCGTTATAATATTATTTGATTTTTAGCATCAATGCACCAGCCAATGGTATTACATATTTGTGTACTAACTAAAGAAATTAAAGAATTATTTTAGATCACAAATTCAAATCCAAGGTACTAAAGTTTGTGTTAGCTTGTCAGAATGAATTCCACCTTTGACACATCTTAGTTCTAGCTTTTGTGTACATTAAGGTAAAGAACGTGCTAGTTAGGTCGAATCTCATATCTCATCTATTGAACGGTAAGTATCAAGACATGTTCAATATAGTAACGTAATAATATTATTTGAATCTTCTTACGTGAAATTCCTATCTCCGCTACACACGTATTAAAGGGAGATTTGTACATTTTTCACTTATATACCAAAAATAAAAATATATTATAAAGAAGAATATTACAAAGGGGAAAAAATTCTACATATACATAAAAATTGGGCCTTTACTGAATTTCAAATTAACAAAACAGCCCAAATAGAAAGCCCACTTAGAAAAATTGGCACCTCAAATTTTGAAGTTCCCGCGAAAGTATCAGTCACAACGCTTCGTGAACTCTCCGGCGAAAAATTGACCGGTGCCGGAATCGGAGAGCTACTGCTTTTAGGCAACATCTCCGGTGCCTCTGACGGAGTTATTGAAGTTGAAGGAATGCTTGAGGATATTGATGGAGTCACAGCCCTTGTCGGAATATTTGTTGGTGAAGCTACTGGAGGGGAGAATACAGGCGCACCTACTGGATTTTCAACCACAGTGGACGATGGAGAGAGTTCCGGGGAAGAGGTTGTCGCCGGAGAGTACGCCGGTGAGACGGACGGTCTCAGTTTAGGAGACTTCGGCACTGGTGATGATAAAGGAGTGATCACCGGAGTTTTAAATTTTGGACGAGGAGTAATTGCAGATGGAACCGGAGCAGCCACAGTGGATGACGGCGTTGTCGCAGGAGAATTTATCGGCGTAAACGCCGGTACGATTGACGATGCTTTGGGAGATATTGCAGGAGTGATCACCGGAGTTTTAAATCCCGGCAGAGGAGTCATTGCCGATGGTTCCGGAGCAGCCACATTGGATGACGGCATTGGCGCAGGAGAATTTATCGGCGAGATAGACGGTGTAGACGCCGGCACCTTTGATGATGCTTTAGGGGATATTGTAGGAGTGTTCACCGGCGTTTCAGGAGTAGCCTTAGATGGTACCGGAGCACTGTCATTGGACGATGGAGTCCTAGCCGGCGAAATTGAAGTCGTCGGCGGAGTTCTCGACGGAGATTGAACCGGCGAAGCAAACGGACTACTTTCAGGAGACATTGCAATTGCCGGAGAAGTTTCCGGAGTGGCCGGAGACTTGTCAGGCGATGTATAAGGACTCGCCGGAGCAAAGACCGGAGAAAAAACAGGGGGATCCAATTTCGCCGGCGGTGCTGCTCCATCGGAGTTTATCACATGAAGCAACAATAAAACAATGGTAAATACTCTGTACATTTTTGTAGTTTAACAAAGCGATATCACGGAGAATATCCCGGTGGCCGGAAAAATAAACAGAAGGGATAATTGATATCACAGGGAATATTCCGGTCACCGGGAAATTAAACAGAATGGATAATCGCTAGTGTTAATTAAAATTTGATTTCTGATAATTAATATAGTAATGTGAAAACTTAACGTTGCAATTTTGTGGGGGAAAAAAAATCAAATGCTAAACGTTGCAACGTTTAGCTTTAGAAAAACATTTAAACAAAATAAAATTATATATTTGAACCCCAAAAAAAAAAAACAGTTTTAGAGCTGCATTTGGGATTAAACTCCAAATGCAAAAATTTACTTGTTGAATTTTTCAATTTGTTGATGAAGATTGAATTTGATTTCTCCATTTGTATTTTGTTTTCTCTACACCTATTGTTAGTAGATTTTTAACTTTAAAATAAAGAATGTTTTGCTATAAAATATTTAACTTATATAATGATTTAACTTTTTCGATATGAATCTGAGTTTATAATTTAAGGTAAATATTTTATCTAGTATTTGTAAGAGAAAAGTAGATGTGCAATTTGAAATGTATTTTTCCACGGCAAAGAAGAGTTTTCTTCGTGTTTATTAGTCTGATCGATTATGTGGGTTCATATAACTTAGTGAATGATATTCATTTTCTTTATAGGATTGATAATTTTTAACTCGCGAAATATAATTTACAACTATCTTAGATTTTTGTGTGTATTACTTCATGATTTTTCTGAAATATGATAGATAGACTTCGTTTGATCTCAATTTTTTTTTAGTCTATTCGAAACGATACAATGAACAATACTCATTGTTCTCAAGGACCATATCATTTTTTTTGGCAATTTCAGGTCACGAAACATAAAGTTAGAATTATTTCACTTTTTCGTATGTGTTAATTCATGATTATTTTTTTGAAATATGACTATGATACTCTAATTCTCTATAGGATCGAGTCACTTGTTTAGGAGTTAAGGGATCATGAAACATGAATCTCCGATTATCTAAGTTTTCACGTGTATTATTTCATAAAATTTTCAGAATATATCAGATTGACTCAGTTTGACCCTAAATTCTATGGATCCATTAGACATGATCTAGAGAGCGCTATTCATTGCCTCTGTAGGACTGACGTCAACCTTTCTTTAGAGTTTTAAGGTCGCAAAATTGTAATTCATGATTATCTACGTTTTGGGAGTGTATTAGTACATGAATTTTCGTGTGTATTAGTCCAATTTTTCTTATTCTTTAATATATAACTTTTTAACATGGTAAACATAATTTTTTCACGTCTAGTCTTTTCTTTGCAAAATATCTCTCTATATATATATACCCACCATGTTCAAATACTACGCCAATAAATGTAACCTCTCTATCTCTACCATAAACCATTCCTAAACCAGAAGTATAACAGAATATGCAGAATCTTGAAGAGTAATACATACAGTTGGAACCGAAATTCGTTTTCACAGTTTATGTCTGTGTGTACTGTTAGTGTTCATCAATGGAAGATCAATTAGTTCTCTCAATTTCTGAAGTTTTCTTTTAATTAGAGTGTGTTTTGGTGTTCTTTTTTTGAAGCACTTCATATTGCTATCGTCAAAATCAAGTTTCTGGGGTTGTAACAAATAGTCAAGAACTTAACCCCAACTTCTTTCTTGAAGAAGCCATGGAAGAAAATGAAGGTGGGGGGTTGGGGGATGGCCATAGGAATGAAGCTATTCCAGCTGTTGCGGATGATGGGTTTCTTGTTGAAATAGAAGAAGAAGAAGAAGATGATGATGATTGTGGGGATCTTTATAACAATATCAATGTTGGAGAGAATTTTCTTCAGTCAGTTCGGAAGAATGAGGAGGAAGAGAAGGCGGTTGAGCTGCGTCAGGAGACTGGCAATGCTGCTGTGACGGCTGCAATTGTAGCGTCTAGGATTTCAAGTGGAGTTGATGGGTCTAGGGATATGGCAGTTAGGGGGAATGAAATGAGAGATAGAGATTTGGCACCGGCAGCAAGATTAGAGACTTCTGTTGCTGGTGGGATAAAGATTGAGTGTAGTGATCCGTCGGGTAAGATGGATGATTTAGCGAAGAATGCTAGCAGTAATATTGTGAATCGAGAGATAATTCAAAGGCCTACTGCTGCTAGTGCTAATGTTTTAGGAAATGCTAGGAATGTTGGGAATTCAGGGAACGGTAATATGGTTAGACGAGGAATGGTTAGTGGGAATGCAATGGGTAGTATGGGCAGTTCCAGTGCCTTAGGTGGAGGAGACGGTAGTGGAGGGACGATTTTATTTGTTGGTAATCTGCATTGGTGGACAACAGATGCTCAAGTGGAGTTAGAGTTAAGCAGATATGGAACTGTGGAGGATGTTAAGTTTTTTGATGAAATAGCTTCTGGGAAGTCGAATGGATATTGTTGGGCTGAGTTTTCTAAACCTGCAGCTGCCATGGCATGTAGGGAAGGGATGGATGGACATTATTTCAATGGGCGGGCCTGTGTGGTCAGATTTGCTTCACCATCTTCGCTAAAGAGCTTGGAAGAGGGACGGACGAATCGAATTAATCTGTACTATAGTCTAAGTCAGACCGCTTCAGTGAATCGAATTAATCGGTACAATGCTACTGTTGGTAATTTTCAAGATGGTGGGAATTTAGGCAGAGCAGGTCCTCAGATGATGGGGGTTAGGGGCCCACTTGGTCCTAAGAGAAATAGGGTTGATGGCGTTGTAGGAAGAGAGCTTATGGGGAATGCTGGAGGTGGACTCGAACAAGGTATAGGTGCTGCATCTACATCGAATCATCCTCAAACAATGATGGGCCAAGGATTTCATCCTGGTTTTGGAGGGCCTATGGGGAATGCTGGAGGTGGACTCAGACAAGGTATAGGTGCTGCATCTTCATCGAATCATCCTCAAACAATGATGGGCCAAGGATTTCATCCTGGTTTTGGAGGGCCTATGGGGAATGCTGGAGGTGGACTCAGACAAGGTATAGGTGCTGCATCTTCATCGAATCATCCTCAAACAATGATGGGTCAAGGATTTCATCCTGGTTTCGGAGGGCCTATGGGGAATGCTGGAGGTGGACTCAGACAAGGTATAGGTGCTGCATCTTCATCGAATCATCCTCAAACAATGATGGGTCAAGGATTTCATCCTGGTTTCGGAGGGCCTATGGGGAATGCTGGAGGTGGACTCAGACAAGGTATAGGTGCTGCGTCTTCATTGATTCATCCTCAAACAATGATGGGTCAAGGCTTTTATTCTGCTTTCAGAGGGCCTATGGGGAGAATAGGTGGTTATGGAGGATTCTCTGGTGGTCTAACTCTACCTTTTTCAGGTAGGTTGACTCCATTTCCACCTGCACATTTTAGGAGAGGAATGCCCATGAATAGTATAGGAATGATGCCTCGTGCTGGTATGGAGGGACCTAATATGGGCAGATGGACTGGAGATGAGCATGGCTACAGGGCAGGAGAGTCAAGTAATGTGGCAGAATCTGATTATCAGTATGGAGAAGAAAGCCGTGATAGGGGCACTTGGCCTAGTAACAGAGAAAATGATAGGCCTGATTCTTCAGACAGAAGATATATAGACAACAGAGAACCTTCAGGGCGTGATGATGATTGGCAAGAAAGGAGACGCCAAGATGATAGAGATGTTGAAAGCTCTAGAGGCCGTGACCATGACCCTGCGAGGCATCAAGATAGGGAACACAAGCGTGGTCATCATAGGGATGATAATGCTGATCGTCATAGGCACAGGGACCGAGAGAAAGAACATGATGATGAACAGGACAGAGGAAGATCATCAAGTACACAGGCCAAATCACAGTCAAAATCAAAGGGGAAGGCCCCCATGATCTGACTACAGATTGATCTGCTGACCTATTACATACATTCTTGGATAGTATAGAATTACATAGACTAGGAAAGCTATATCAACTGAGGAATTGCCATGTCCATTGAATATTTTCTCGCGTAATTGCTGTTTTTCTTTCAGTGTTCCCGTTGAAAGGAGCATTTCCACTAATCACTAATATGATGTAAGTTCATGATTCCACTCTTCATTAATGCTTTTGGTAGAACAGTTCTATCAATCCTGTCTTATGTTAGAATAGAAATAAGTATTTCCTACTTATAATAGAAATAAGAATAGGAATAGGAATAGGAATAAGAATAGGAATCCTAGTTGGAAAAGGATTCCAATGTAGTGTCTATAAATAGGGTCTCAATGTAACTATTTAGATACACAATTCAATAATATTTTTCGTATATATTTCTCACATGGTATCAGAGCATTGGTGAGAACAAACAAGTCACCGTATGTCTATGTCAATTTCCGGTGACTGTTGGGTCTGATTTTGTTATACTTTTTTCTTTCTGTGGGTGTTGTGCGAAAACCAACACCACCACGAGGCTCGGAAAGCCCCCGCGACCAAACCCCAGCCAAAACCACCGGAAAACACCACCCCACGCGCTCTCACGCGCCTATCGGAGGTGGCAGTTTCCGGCGAGATCTGTCTCACGCGCCGGCCCCTGAGGGCTTTTCTGATCATATTTTTTTGAGATTTTTTTGACAGTTGGGGTTGTCCAGCCAATCCGACCAGGCCCATACTGTTTTTGACCAGATCCGATCGCCGGAATTAGAGTTCCAGCTATTTCCAGGCAGTTTCCGGCGACTTTTCTTCGAGATTTGAATTTTCCGAGACAAATTTAGCATAATGTCTTTTGGGTGTGATGTTTTTGGTTCCAAAAATATGGGGATTGGAAGTTCTAGCCCTATAATCACTTCAGAACTTTTATTGGGAAGTTCAAACTATTTATCTTGGGCTTCCTCGGTTGAGTTGTGGTGCAAGGGTCAAGGTGTCCAAGATCACTTAACGAACAAGGCTTATGAGGTAGATGTAAAGGCAAAAACTAGTGAGGAAGATGCAAAAGCCAAAGCACAATGGGAGAAAGTAGATGCTCAATTATGTAGTCTCCTATGGCGTTCTATTGATTTCAAGTTGATGCCCTTGTTTCGCCCATTCCAGACGTGTTATACAGTTTGGAAAAAGGCTCGTGCTTTATACACTAATGACATATCTCGATTCTATGATGTGATATCTCGATTGACCAACTTAAAGAAACAAGAATCCGATATGTCTACTTACTTAGGACAGGTACAGGCAGTCATGGAGGAATTTGACACATTAATGCCAGTTACTACGAATGTGGAAAAACAACAAGAACACAGACAAACATTGTTTCTAGTTCTTACTCTTGCTGGACTTCCTCCTGATCATGATTCTGTACGTGATCAGATTTTAGCTAGCCCTACAGTTCCTACAATCGATGAATTATTCTCTCGTCTCCTTCGTCTTGCGGCACCTCCCAGTCACAAGGTAGTTTCATCACCCACTGTTGACTCATCTATTCTTGCATCTCAAACCTTTGAAAAGCGTACATATCAATCTATGGAGAATCGGCGAGGAGGAGGGCGTTTTGGGAAACCTCGATCCAAGTGTAGTCATTGTCATAAGCCTGGACACACTCGTGATATATGTTATATTTTGCATGGTCCACCACCCAGTTATGATCCTATTGTTCTAAAGGAATATAATGAGTTCCTTCGAAATCGAGGAAATAAGCAAACGTCTCCACAAGTAGTTTCGGTTGCACAACCTGATGTCTCTGTTGCGGGTAATTCTTTTGCTTGTGTGTCGCAATCTAGTACTCTTGGAACATGGGTCATGGACTCTGGGGCTTCTGATCATATCTCTGGTAATAAATCACTTTTATCCGATATTGTTTATTCACAATCTCTTCCAGCTATTACTTTAGCCAATGGGATCCAAACCAAACCAAAAGGGGTTGGAAAAGCCAAACCCCTATCTTCTGTCACCCTAGACTCTGTTCTTTATGTCCCTGGTTCTCCTTTTAATCTAGCATCTGTTAGTCGTTTGACGAAAGCCCTACATTGTAGCATAACTTTTTTCGATGATTTTTTTCTCATGCAGGACCGCAGTACGGGACAGATGATTGGAACAGGACATGAATCACAAGGCCTTTACTATCTTACCTCTTCAAATTCCTTAGCAGCATGCTCCATTACAGATTCCCCAGATTTAATTCACAAACGTTTGGGACATCCGAGTCTATCCAAACTGCAAAAGATGGTGCCTAGTTTGTCTAGTTTATCCACATTAGATTGTGAGTCGTGTCAACTTGGGAAACACACTCGTGCTACGTTTTCTCGTAGTACTGAGGGTCGTTCAGAGTCTATTTTTTCATTAGTTCATTCTGATATTTGGGGTCCTAGTAGAGTCAGTTCCACCTTAGAATTTCGTTATTTTGTTAGTTTCATTGATGATTATTCAAAATGTACTTGGGTTTTCTTAATGAAAGATCGTTCTGAGTTATTTTCTATTTTCAAAAGTTTCTTTGCTGAAATACAAAATCAGTTTGGTGTTTCTATTCGTACTTTTCGTAGTGATAATGCCTTAGAATACTTATCCTCCCAATTTCGGGAGTTTATGACTCACCAAGGCATTATTCACCAGACTACTTGTCCATACACCCCTCAACAAAATGGTGTAGCTGAAAGAAAAAATCGGCATCTTATTGAGACCGCTCGTACTCTTCTCCTTGAATCCAATGTTCCATTGCGTTTTTGGGGAGATGCAGTTCTTACGTCTTGTTATTTGATAAATAGAATGCCCTCTTCTTCTATTCAGAATCAGGTTCCCCATTCCATACTGTTTCCTCAGTCACATCTCTATCCTATCCCTCCTCGTGTCTTTGGGAGCACATGCTTCGTTCATAACTTAGCCCCAGGAAAAGATAAATTAGCTCCTCGTGCCCTCAAATGTGTCTTTCTTGGTTACTCTCGAGTCCAAAAAGGGTATCGTTGTTATTCACATGATCTTCTTCGATACCTTATGTCTGCTGATGTTACATTTTTTGAGTCTCAGCCTTACTATACATCTTCTGATCATCCTGATGTCTCTATGGTCTTACCCATACCTCAGGTTTTACCTGTGCCAACCTTTGTGGAATCTACGGTTACTTCTACATCTCCAGTTGTAGTGCCACCACTACTAACTTATCATCGCCGTCCACGTCCAACCCTAGTCCCAGATGATTCATGTCATGCGCCAGACCCTGCTCCTACTGCGGACTTGCCTCCTCCTAGCCAACCGCTTGCACTTCAAAAAGGTATACGATCCACTCGAAATACTAACCCACATTATACCTTCTTAAGTTATCATCGTCTATCATCACCCCATTATGCATTTGTGTCGTCTTTGTCCTCTATTTCCATTCCTAAGACTACAGGTGAAGCACTTTCTCATTCTGGATGGAGGCAGGCTATGGTTGATGAGATGTCTACTTTACATAAGAGTGGTACTTGGGAGCTTGTCTCCCTTCCTGCAGGTAAATCTACTGTTGGTTGTCGTTGGGTTTATGCAGTCAAAATTGGTCCAGACGGTCAGGTTGATCGACTTAAGGCTCGCCTTGTTGCCAAAGGGTATACTCAGATATTTGGGCTAGATTATAGTGACACTTTCGCTCCTGTGGCTAAAATTGCATCTGTTCGTCTTTTTCTATCTATGGCTGCCGTTCGTCATTGGCCTCTTCATCAGTTGGACATTAAGAATGCTTTTCTGCATGGTGATCTTGAGGAAGAAGTCTATATGGAGCAACCACCTGGTTTTGTTGCTCAGGGGGAGTCTAGTAGCCTTGTATGTCGATTGCGCAGGTCACTCTATGGTCTAAAACAGTCTCCTCGAGCTTGGTTCGGGAAGTTCAGCACAGTAATTCAGGAGTTTGGCATGACTCGTAGTGGAGCTGATCACTCTGTGTTTTATCGGCATTCTGCACCAAGTCGATGTATCTATTTGGTTGTTTACGTTGATGATATTGTTATCACCGGTAATGATCAAGATGGTATCACCGATTTGAAGCAACATCTCTTTAAGCACTTCCAAACTAAAGACCTTGGCAGATTGAAGTATTTTCTAGGTATTGAGGTTGCTCAGTCTAGATCAGGTATTGTTATTTCTCAGCGCAAGTATGCCTTAGACATTCTTGAGGAGACAGGGATGATGGGATGTAGACCTGTTGACACTCCTATGGATCCGAATGTTAAACTTCTTCCAGGACAGGGGGAGCCACTTAGTAATCCTGAAAGGTATAGACGACTTGTTGGAAAGTTGAATTATCTCACAGTGACTAGACCTGACATCTCTTTTCCTGTGAGTGTTGTAAGTCAGTTTATGACTTCCCCTTGTGATAGTCATTGGGAAGCAGTTGTTCGTATTCTGCGATATATAAAGTCAGCTCCCGGTAAAGGACTACTCTTTGAGGATCAAGGCCATGAGCATATCATTGGATATACAGACGCTGATTGGGCAGGATCACCCTCTGACAGACGTTCGACATCCGGATATTGTGTTTTAGTAGGAGGTAATTTGGTGTCGTGGAAGAGCAAGAAACAGAATGTGGTTGCTCGATCTAGTGCAGAATCAGAATATCGAGCAATGGCGACAGCAACTTGTGAGCTAGTTTGGATCAAACAGTTGCTGGGAGAACTAAAATTTGGCAAAGTTGATAAGATGGAACTTGTGTGTGATAATCAAGCGGCTCTTCATATCGCATCAAATCCAGTGTTTCATGAAAGGACTAAGCACATTGAGATTGACTGTCACTTTGTCAGAGAAAAGATACTCTCGGGAGATATTGTTACGAAATTTGTGAAGTCAAATGATCAGCTTGCAGATATCTTCACCAAGTCCCTCACATGTCCTCGTATTAATTACATCTGTAACAAGCTAGGTACATATGATTTGTATGCACCAGCTTGAGGGGGAGTGTTAGAATAGAAATAAGTATTTCCTACTTATAATAGAAATAAGAATAGGAATAGGAATAGGAATAAGAATAGGAATCCTAGTTGGAAAAGGATTCCAATGTAGTGTCTATAAATAGGGTCTCAATGTAACTATTTAGATACACAATTCAATAATATTTTTCGTATATATTTCTCACAGAACCATTACCATCTTGTTATCTTTTCTGAATAGTTTTCGGTGTGTCTCTACTGCTACAGTAGATGTCATCTTCTTTCAAAGTTTTACGTCCATCTATACTGGTTACTAGTAAAGAGCTAAAGCATAAAACAATACTTGTAGAACTTACACATGTCTTTTATATTATCATATATTGCATATTATTGCCTATAGTCTACTTTCTTAGGAGACTAAGTAATTTGGAGTTCTGAGAACAAGGCAATTCCTTTGCATTCATCCACAAAATATAACAGATTAGAGTCCTAATCTAGAAGGTCAATCATAACAAATCTATGAAACAGTTGCAAAGTTTATGGAACATTTAATACTCTAATAAAGAAAATCACAAACAATTACAATACAACATCTACGCAAAACTTTTGAAGGACTGCTATCTGAGCTAGAAAGATTGGCACTCACATCTCACTCATTTCTAGTGATTTTGCCTGGATGCCGAAGTAGGATGATGAGAACTTACAAGTTTAATAAGGTCATTAAAGAGCAGATAAAATGCCACTAGTGAAAAAACGTGTTTGATCTTCTCATGACTTACTATGGCATACTAAGAGATCCACTGCAGAAATATCCATGAAGACATCTATCAGAGGCTGGAGTTGCTTCCATACACAACATTTAAGAACTTAAGACATCTATCGACGCTTTAACCCAGATCGATTATGCAGGTCCAACAGCTGCTCAAGTGACACAAAAGACCACCTGTCCTCAACTTGCGCAAATACCTTCTGATTGAGAGAATCTATAATAATACTGATGTTACCAAAACCATATATCTGATGACCATCTTGCATCCTGCCAGGCTTAGGCTTGAACAGCAAGCCATTCTCTTGAGCATGAACTTCAATAACTTCTTTCATGCTCATGTCAACCGCACCATCCATTTGGATACCACTGTTCGAGCCCACAGAAGGGCGGGATTGAGCTTGTACTGCTGCTTTTTTCTGAGTCTCAAATTGCCTTTGTTCAAGAACCCTAAGATAACTAATGTTCTCCCTCAAACCAGGCTGAACGACCTCCAAGCCTTCAACAGCCTGGTTCATCATGTCTAGAGCAAGATTTAGTCGATAGCGAATGTGTTCATTTGCCTGAAGTTCAGGTGGAATAAGTTCCTTCCAACCCAAATACCATTTTGTGACTTCTTCAAAGTTCGGGTTTGAGCATAACCAGTGGTACAAAACTTCTTGCCACTTGTTGAAGAATATATCCAGTATTGGAAGCATGTGATGGATGGGAATAGCAGTAGCCCAAGTACGGACCCAATAGAACTGATCAAGGTTCTGATTTGCTGGATTTATTTGGAATTCATGCATCACTGCTAACAACTTTGGAACAATAAATCGGACCATTAGTTTTTCCCAGTTAATTGCATCAAAAACAGTCTTCCAAGGAGACAGTATGTAGTATGCAGACATATCACTTGGGTGCCAAGCATGCAGTACGCTTTCCAATCTGCTACGTATAGTGTGGTAGCAACTTTCCAATCTTTGACCCAATAAGGGCAACCATGGATGAACCCAGGAATGTATTGGAACTGTTTCTCGACGTGGATCCCAGGAGTTCACAGCAGCTGATAACTTGGGCAAAATAATGTTTTCCAATATTGACTGAAGAACTGAAGAAGGCAATAGCTTCTCCCAAGAATCCAAAAAACGAAGCATTGGTTCAGGGTCCCTAGCCTGCCAGGTATTGGTGCCAGATATTCTAACAGCAGGGAACACAACTTCCATAAATAGTTGAGTATAAGGAGATGCAGCATCAGAGATAGCAAAAATGTCATTACCTTGCAAAAGATCCTTCCACAGTGAAACCACCTCCAATCCATGTGTTGGAGTTTGAAGTGGATCCCATCCCTGAAAAATTCGAATGAACAATGGCAGAGCGTATGAGCACGCTATGCTTGACAAGTTGCAGAGTGTGTATTCCTCAACATACTGCTGCTGTAAGTCTGCAAATGCTTTTGCAAGGGAGTCTAGGGTCAGGGTACCAGATGTGCTCTCTTCCCCTATCCGGTCCAATACACCTACAATCTCTTCCATATTATCAAACTGCCTTTTTTGACGAGCTGCCTCAGCTTGAAGCTTCTCCTTCTCCTTTTGCAAAGCAACAACTGTCTCCATCTCATTTCTCAAATCACTATCAATCTTTTGTATGTCAAGTTCTGCCAAGTCCACAATCAACCTGATATTATGCTGAAGTTCGGGCATTGGAACATCATTCTCCCTTGCTTTTTCTTCGGCGTTCAAGTTCTCCAGATTCGTCAAGACTCGAACTTGTGGACCTCTCATATCAAACACCTTCTGAACAGTTTCCAGGCCCTGCTCCTGCTTTTTAGCTAACAACTCTTCAGCTGTAACATAAACCTTCTTCACTTTTTTAGCTTGCTTTGACCAAAGCTTCTCTTTTGATCGACCTTCCACAGGTAGTATCGCAGGACGAGCAACAGTCTGCTTTCCATCTGATTCTTGAAGAGCTGGTGCACTACTAGTCTCCTTGTAGTCATTAAATCCCATTCCCATATTCTTAGGCCTCAGCTTCGCCTCAATCGGAGCCACAATTCCTTGCTCATTTTTACCCAACCCACCTCCCTTATAACCCATCTTCTCAAGCAACTTCAACCCTATCCCTTTGGTAAACTTCTCAAAGCCACCAACATCACCACTAGGTTCCCTTCTCCCTGATTCAGACGGCGAAGATTTCTTCGCCAACATAGATTTCTCCTTTTCCCTTTCCTTCTCACGTCTTAGTGCACCTTCTTTGATCTTCCTACCAAAAGCAGTGGGCAGAAAGTTTCCCCCATCAGCTTCAACCTCATCAGCATTATTATTATTATTCGAACTACTACTAGTACCAAATCCAAGGCCGCCAACAGATGCTGCCCCAAATCCCAATCCTAAACCTTTATTCTCTTCTTCTGGCATTAGCTGCTCCTCATTCTCCTCTTTGGAATTCTGATCAATTTCTTTGTTAGGCATAACAATTCCAGTTGATACAAAATTAACAGGTTTGGTTAGGTCAGGTTTCGATGAAAAACCTTTTTTTCGCTTCTTAGAGGATGATCCTTCGTAGTCAGAATCACTATCGCCAGAAGCAAAAATACCATAGAGCGTATCATCTTTGGTTTGAACTTGCTTTTTCTCTTTCCGTTTCCGATAGTAGAATTCACCACCGATCCACTGTCCATCTTCAAAATCGTTCTCCATACCAAACCTCTCCATCTCCTGATAATCATCCATGCTGAACAACTTGATATAGAAAAAACGATAAGAAAATCTCCGATCACCGGTCACCGGATAATAAAGGAGAGTAAAAACGAGAGGATGAAATTAGGGTTATGATTACGGACTTCACTTTCCGTATTTTAAAATAGGGCCGAGTCCGACGGGTCGGGTTTTTATCGATATGCTGCCCAAGTTTTAACCAAATTTGGTATAAATTAACTTTTCTTATAAAATCAGAGGTCTCGGGTTCGAGCCCTGGATATGGAAAAAATCTTGTTGAAAGCGCCACCTTCGAATGGGCCCTGCAGAGCGCGATCCGAATTTAATCAGAGCTCCAATGTGGGCTCCAGACACCGGGTGTGAAATCAAAAAAAAAAAAAAAAGATAATAAATTGAAATTAAGAAGAGTAGAAATAGAAAGACACAAAGTAATAGTAGTAGAAACTTTCCTTTATTATTGTATGTTTTTTTACTTCTTGTTGTTGTTTCATATATATATATATATATATATATATATATATATATATATATATATATATATAGGTTATAAAACTTGGCCACAGAGTATTTTACTTGGACACAAAGTATATTGTGTGGACATCCATTTTATAATAACTTACAAATTCTAAATAAATTTGATTTCCTGAATTATTCGTCCAATATTTTGTTTTCTTAAATTCGCATTGCAAGAATCATATCTCACAACCATATGTAACAACAGATAAATTGAAGTCGGCTATATTAATACTCACTTCTTCATTTAAAAACAAGACTTGACATGTAATTTCAGAAATCTAATCCAGAGACAAGAGTAGTTAACATATATTCCTTTCTGCAGATGAAGGAATGTAAATCTACATCACTAGTATATTGAATAGAATCAAATGACTCATTGGCTTACAAATTCCACTAGAGGATTCATATACCCGACCCCAACTTAATTCGGATTGAGGCACAGTAGTTGTACAATGACTAAGATAGTCTCAAATGAGTGTTACTTACAACACTAGCATTTAGGGATCGTTTTATAGAGCGTATAAGAAGAATATTGAATAAAGTGTATTAGTAATGTTGTGATTATTTATGTTGGCTTTGTTTTTTTATCAGTTGTTAGGAATAATACATGTATTAGTTATACATAGGTTGAAAGCACAACGACCCCTTTATAATACATGAAAAGATCAGTGCTTCCAAGAAGAAAAAAGACTACAAATGCTGTTTACACAGTAAGCTGAAATCCAGCATTAAAAACCAGACATTTCTAGCTCCATGACTTACTAGCCATTGAGTTGAACAACAAGGTGAAACACTATCAATAAACTACACCTGTTCGAGATCATTATGGTACAGTATTCAGACATTAACCGAGAGATGATATAGGCTACCTTTCCTTGGTATGTTCTATGCTTTCAAGCCTCTACACCCTGGACAGAAGGCTGTTTTTCATCTTCAGCATTTTCTTCCTCGTCCTCTTCATCAGCCTCATCGACTAGCCTAGTGAGCTCATCCTGGATCATATTCTTCACAGATATCTTTCTGGGTGTAAGATCTGTATCATACCGCTTGGCTGGAAAAAAGACAAACTAGTCAGTTGGATTCCAGAATTGTATTACCATGGCCTCGTAGAGGATGTAATATCAAGTTTTTAAACTTTTAACTTAGTCAAAACCGCGTACTACAAAGAACAGAAAAACCGTTTTTACAGGACACTTACCAAGTATTTGCAAAATGTCGGTAAAGGTGGCCTGCAGCATAAACAAATGATGTTAGCCACATAGGAAAATAAATTTTGGAATATCAATACCTATTGTGGGAACTATGATCACCAAAATGTGAAGGACGAAGAGCACCATCTTGAAATGGTCAAAGAAACATGTCCTCTGTTTTTTCACTTTCGAACCGGATAATGGTAGTGCCCTGGCCCAACTCGTATGCGGTTCGACTATTCCACTGGATACCTACTACCTCTCACCATTGATATCGAGTCACTCTACCCACCAAAACTTAGGCAGATGGGAAAAACAACTTATTTTAAATTAGCATGGAACATCTAAACAGGGATTTGACAATCGAAATCTACTATTAAGGAGAGAAACAGAAGCGCGATAAAAGTACAGAACTCAAAGTTCATTCCTCACCGTGTTAAAGTCAACTTCTTTTAGAACTTCACAAATCGCACTTCTGAGTTCATCATCACTTGGCTTCAATTTATCTGCTTTCTTATGGCCCTTTCCATTCGGAACTTTTTTCCCTGCACAATCAGATAAGCTAATAAAGAAAGGATTTAAGCAAAAAAAAATATACAAAAACAAAGAAAACAATTTCAGATGGATACACAACACACATAACGAAGAAATTTATGAAGATACTCATATACAAATCATTGATCATCTTGACGAGAATTTTTGAGAGTACACTCAAATGGGAGTAAACAATGATTCTCACCAGTGTTGTCACTTGAACTAGGCTTCTTTGGTGTAGATGGATTTCCCTTAACTACTTCAGTAGTTTTCTTCTTTGAATGCACTTTTGGATTTGCATCATTGTTATCATTGTTCTTTGAGCTTTTTGATGAATTTGAAGGTGTTTTCTTGGTTTTAACTTCTCCAGTAGATTCCTTCTTTGATGATTTATTTGAACTTCGCTTATGCTTCTTCTTGTCCTTCTCGGATCCTTCTTCAGATTTACCGTCTTTCTCCTCACTTTTAGTTTGTTTTGACATCTCGTCATCTGATCTCTCCTGGTCATCTTTTGGTTCATGCGCTTTCTTCTTCTTGTGACTCTGCAGAACATACCAGACACAGAGATCATGATAGGAAAAGTTCCCACAAACACAATTACATGGTTGGTGAGTCTCCTTTATTCTTCTAGATTTTCTCTGGTTTCTGTTTAAAATTTGATTCCTTGAGCCAGCGGTCAATTGAAAACAACCTATGTACCTGCCAAGGTAGGAGGGGTAAGGTTTGTACACTCTACCCTCCCAGACCCCACTTGTGGGACTATACAGGGTATGTTGTTGTAGTCTATTTAAAATTTGAAAGAATGAAACAACCTCAAACCCGAAAAGCTAAATACACCATTTAAGGGTTCACAAAATCCCAATACCCAAACACTTCCCATACTAGACAGTGAATAATGTCAGATAAATATGGCATGTGTCCTGGCATGAAAGATTTTGTACTCTCGTCCCCAGATCAGAACTCAGTGGAGCTTCAGAGAGAAAACCATTTAGATCAGCAGAATTACGTTCACAAAAGTGATTGACAACTTCAATACCAGTAAGCCGGATAACGTGATTTCACATCTCAAATCTCAAGGGTGTAAACCTAAGTACAGTAAATGGAAGGTTGTGTCTCAAATTTAGTAAGTTCAAACAGGTTAGAACAATATCACTAGTCCATGGCTAAAACATTCAAAAGGTGTTGCCTTGCAATCAAGTCAACTTTCAAATGTTAATAAGAAAGAGTGATACCTTAGTTGAACCTTCCAAACTACCAATTGTTGATGAAGGACTCTTTTTCTTCTTTCCTTTACTTGACTGTTCAATGCACCAGGGGTGAATAAGCATGCTGTACAACTGGAAGAAGTCACAAATATTTCATTGCAATCAAAAAGGTCGTGCAACCAACCTGTTCCTTTTCAGCAAGTAACTCAGATGTCATAGGATGAGGAGCATCTAAAAAATCCATCAACTGTGATTCTAAATCTTCCTGAAACATAAAACATAGAATTAGTTGAGAATCTTTTAAGATAAGTCACGAACACACAGAAGAAATAACTAATGGCATATAAAGCTTAATATGATGTGGTAATATATGAACACACCTTTCTTGATGTATCCTCGTCAACAGGTATATCTAGTACATCACATAATTCCAACAGCTTCTCTTTGACACACTTGTCAAGCTTTTCTTTTACTTTCATCTTTTGTTTTTCCTGCAAAAAAAGTCAAGTAGTCTAAGGCTCTGAGCTCAAGAATTTTTGGATCATTATAAACTAAAATTACTCAAATTAGATTAAGAGCCCAACAATTAGACAATGAACAAGATATATAGACAGCCTCGCATGAGAAAGCAATGGCCAATGAGAAATTTTATAGTCAAATCTTCTCTATCCCAACCTGCCATACCCACACCTGGCATAAACCAAAAAAGGAAGAGTTCACTTTCTTAAAAATGACACTCATTGATTACCTCATTTTCATGCCACACAAGGCCGGAAAACAATGAAATATTACTCTTGAATTGAGCTGCCTGCAAAGGAAAAGAACTATAAATACAAAGTATCAACAGAAAGAAAGTGAAGAAGAAATAGCATATTGTCAAGCATTCTTGAAGATGTTTCTTAATTCCATGAGTCGGGACTTGGGGAGCAAGTGATCCAATACGAATACTGAAAACAAAACATTACATTAGAAATGCAAAGTTATATGACAAAACCAAATGAGCCATAAGAGTTTATTCCAATCAAAATTGGAAAACTGGAAACATATGATTGTCTGAAATAGCACACATTTGAGAATATATAAAGATAATTACGGTCCAATACTTTTGGGTAATCTAATTTACAAAATAGTCAGTAAATATATAGATTTTTATATATATATAAGTATAAATATAGATAGAGCTCAGGATTACATAAGTTGACCCTAAAATGGGATCATAGCTTCCTCCTTCTTTCAAATACCTGTTGAGGTACTTACAGAAGAGAAATCAATAGCAACACCAAGACACCTTTCCTTTGTCAGGAAGTGGGAATTAAGAATGCAAGGCATATAAGCCAGCATGCCAACCAGAGCATCACTGGTAAGCAGAAAACGGTACAATAAAGAGAAACCAATCAACAGCAATAAGCTATAAATCAACATGTCACCTTTCCTCGTCGTCCAAAGAGAATATTGTGTAGCAATTTGAGAGTGTCATCAGTCTTCCTTTTGGATAATTTGTATGCCACTGATACATAATATTTTGAATCAACACATTATAGGAAAAACAATAGAAACACACAAAAGAAAATGGAAACTCACAGACTAGCAAAACCAATGCTAGATACAACAAAGAACTTGGGTAACAAAGTCTCGGGGACTAGGACCCCCCCAATTACCACATTCTCATACACGAGGGGACAAATGAAACTGTGATTCAAAGGAAAATATAATCAAGTGAGAGGGGTAACAAAGCCAAGATTAAATCAAATACCTATAGCTGTAGAATGCACACATGCAGAAAAGAAGGTAATATAACAAAAGTCACAAGTCAGATCAGGATTCATGCAGATCAGAGGGTACCACTAGATAAGTTGTATGGAGATACAACTTAAACGAGAACAAGATAAAAGCAATGTAGGTAGTGGTCTGTCTTTCGTCACATTTTAACATATTGAACTACTATTTAACTCATTTTTCCCTTTTTCCTCCTCTATTTGATGGGAAACGAAGCCCAACAAAAGCAAACATCTCACTGAGCCAAACTTGCAACACATAGCGCGCGTAAGATACTTCCTATACCAATTATATTTGGTCATAATCACAGTCATATCAATTTGAACAAATATAAATGGTATGCCTCAATTTTTTTCACTACTATTTGTTTTTTATGAGACAAGTGAAGCTCCATCTAATAAAACAATAGAAACTGGGAGAAGCAGCTCATATGAGTTATATGCTTTTCGTTTTCTTGTAGTTTCTTACTGTACATCACAACCCACCATATTTTTCAGTCCCAGCAATCAACTTGGAGGACAGGTTGGTTCATGTTGGTTAACCCTGGTAAGTTAATAGTCATGTGCTAAATCAAGAACAAACAACTAGAAAGTAAGATTGTACAGCGTGCATAAGAAAAAGCAAAGCAGAAATAACATCTCCAACTGATATCTATCTTAAGATCTATATCCTGCGGGATATGTGACCATTTCAAAGAATGCATGTTTAATCAGTGAACTAGTAAGTAATATACCATTCGGAATATCTTGCAGTGCAGTTCCACGACCCTGCAAACAAGATGGATCATAAAATTAATTTCATAAACAATCATAAATTTGCAGTCCGGACCCAAATCATAAAAGGATAAAGACAACAAAGTTGCACTGGTATCTTGGACCTTTTCAATATAGATTTCCTTGGTGAGTTCTCCTTCAATAGATGCAACCAGCCTTTCAACAGATTTGCGTTGGCGTACAGGGCGTACAATTGTTGGAGCCAGAGGTGTTTTAGGCTTCAGTTCCTTCTTGTCCTCTACTTTCCTTTTCCTCTTCCGATCTTTCTTCTGAGCCCTACTCTTAGATTTATCACTCTCCTTTGATCCTTTCTCAATGGCATGATCTTCAGTGCTTTCTATTTTCTCTTTCTGTACGTTGGCTACATCTTCAACCATCTCTTTGTCATTATCTGGTATTTCAGCAGTTTCTTCTTCCATCACTTCAAACTTAGTTTCTTCCTTCTCTTCTCCTCCTTTGCTTTCTTTTACCTCTTCTTCGTCTATATCCATGTTCTCAATATCCCTTTCATCAGCCTCTTTGCTCTCTTCTTCTACTTCCTTTAACTCATCCTTTTCAGCATTCTTCTCTATAAAGGCTTCACTCTTATCTTCCGCTGCCACATTATTGTCGGCAGATACCTCAGCCAATTCAGTGACACAATCCCCATCCTCTCCCATAACTAAACTTCAATTCTAACAGGTCAAAACAAAACCCTTGAGCTCACAGCTGAAGATAATCTGCATATAACAATGTCAAGTCATGAGCTTGAAGAATCCAACATGCAAATAATGCATTCAACATGTAGTCATTACCTCCAACTTTGCACCAACAAATGAACCCCAAAAACAATCCTCACCATTAAAGAGCTTCATGATAATCCTCTCTACATTAGTCACTACGTTAAATTAGCCTTCAACTACCCCACCCCCACCCCATCCAAAAAAAAACAGCTGACACACAAAATTCATTATTAAATCAATAAAGAACCCTAAACTGCAAAAAAAAATATTTAAAAATCCAATCTTTTTACCATAATCAAACAACCCAACATCAAGAATGTAAATTTTCAGCTAAAAATTTGCATGTAATTAATAAAAATTTAAGTACTTACAGGGAACTTTGAGAGCTAAGTTTGCTGCGTTCTACTGCTACTCTCCCTCTCCTCACTGAAGTGAATCTATTCTTTCTTGTTTTCTCTCAAACAGCCACAGCATTTGCCATTTTATATTTATGTAGAATTTTTATTTATTTTTTGGCTTTGTTGTAAAAAAAAAAATTAAAAATTTAAATTTATTTTATTCTATACTTAATAAAATAGTATTTAAACTCACACATGTCTATTTCTCATTTTAGAACATAACCTCAAGAAACCTTTTGTATCGTTCATAAACTTTGTGTCATGTCAAATAAAATAACAATAAGTATGTTGACCACGTTAGGATCTTCTTTTTTAGCCTATTTCAAAAAGAAAATTATCATCTTTTGTATATTAAAAATAATGTAAATTAAAACTTGTTATTTTACATTAGTGTCTAGTGATATACCACAGAAATACTATATTAGTTCCTTTTTATTTGCCTATATATGTATCATCCAATCATCTTTAAAAATAATTAATTTTGACTAATACATTTTTCTTTTGCTTAATCCAAACATGTTATAGAAAAATTACTAACCAATAGCCATTTAACTATTTTTTTCATCCCAATATATTTCATACTCCAAATTTGCAATGCTTGAAGTATTTATCCTTGTGTCAACCACCAATACAAACTTTATCAGTTGCCCATCATATTGCACTAGACGTTTCAAGAGGCGGATCCAAAATTTTAAACTTGATATATATGTATCCGCATAAAAATAATGGATTCGGAGAAGAGCTGCATCTGCCATTTATCACGTTGCACCAATCATATCACAAAACTATACATATATTTCAGAATATAATCCAGTGTAGTTCATATTTATGTTCCTTCTGCAGATGAAGGAATGTAATCCCACGAGGTGGGGTTTGGGGAGGGTAGAGAATGTACACATAGCGAATGAATGCTATAACATATCTCAAATTGGTAAATTTACACCACTTGTATATTGAACATCAAATAGCTCAGTTGGCTTACAAGTTCCACCAGACAAAGGCGCTACGCGATTTCTGTAAACAAACTTTCAGAAGAAACACAATTCAGAGTACAATTTCTGAGTTGAGTAGCCTACTCCACCAGCAAAGCAACAATAACTGTACTTTTTAGTATAATTAACACTGCATGTACATGATGGATTCTATGAAGTGGGTAGAGTGAAAATCACTCGGGAGCTAAATCAGGAAGGAAATGACTGAAATACATGTGCAAAAGAACTCAAGACACAAGGAAATAGCGTTCAAGATTCAGATACGAGTCTGCAAGTGTGGTAAAGAATGTATTCGTCCCAGGAAATCTCAGAAGCTCGTGGAAACAGTGTGACACGGTAGCTGAAGATGGAGTTTTACGTAGCACTGCAGTTGCATTCCAATTCAAGATGATTGGGCAAGTGACAAATCTGTGGTTGACAAAGTTCCAGACTGATCAACATCAAGACATTCAAACTCATCCAACAAGAGTGATACGTCGTCTTGGCTGATCTTTCCCATCTCCTTAAGTTTATACACCACAAATTCAGCAGCCCTTTGCAAATGAAAAGTGAAGAGAAATTAGAATAATTTGAACTAGTAGTGCAACATAGTAGAATAAAAGAGAAATAAGCAATTGCTTGACAGATTCAACGAGTTCATTATTGGTAGCAGGGGTTGAAGTTTTATAGTATAACTTACCCTACAACCCTATCGTTATCAAGATCAGCTACTTCCAAGTCCACATTTGTCATCTTTCTCGAAAGAACCCACTGCACCAGCTCCTTCTGTTTCCTTTCTGTGTTAAATTCAGCTACATAAAGGAAGAACTGAGCCAAACAAAGGGTGCTGGTCAAAATCCAGAATATAGCAAAAATACGCCCCGCTTTAGTTGAGAAACTTTTGTCTCCATATCCTAGTGTTGTGATGGTAGAACAGACACAATAAAAGGCATCAATGGTACTTAACTTTTCTACCTCAGCAAGGAACACCGTTCCAACAACTATTAGCACCACAAGAGTGGCCGTTATGACGAAGCACTTGTACCTTACTTTGTTGGTTTCAATTTCCTCTAGAATAACACTCGGGCCAACTTTATCACGCATATGCAATGCTTTGATTAATAGGGTTTCCTGTTTCTCCACTAGGTAGTCTGCTCCTTTACTTAGAACCATTCCAACAAGTGCCATCCCGGAGAAAACAAAGAAAGAAGCAAGCAGTTTAGCAGTTGCACTGTTAGGCACAAGGTCCCCGTATCCAACAGTGGTCATTGTTACCACACAGAAGTAAACAGAATCGAGTACTCCATTTACTTTCTTTCCATGGATCTGGTTCTGAACAAAGTAAAAGCACGTGGTACCAATTGTCAAGTATATAACCAAGTAAAGAATGACTTTCCTAAAACTCGGATGTAATTTATCCAATATTGACTCGTAACGTGAGAGTGATTGGTCGTCCTTTATGTCATTCATTTCTCCAGGAACAAATTCCGGCATAGGAGCACTTTTAAGTCGACGAAGTCTTCTTCTCCTTGAATCAACATTTTGAAGGGTTTTAGGCAGCTGGTCTAATAAGGGCTGATTTATGTTGCTGCCCTCCATTCCAAGCAGAATCAACTGCCTCTAGAGACCCTGAGAGAAATTAACGATAAGAATGTTGAAGTCCTCTAAGTTCACTAATTAATCCCAACGAATTGGGGCTTTTTGTCAGAGAAGCTCAAATTTTAAGCCACAAGAAACTAACAAGACTAACAACAACAACAAAACCCAATGTAATCCCACAAGTGAGGTTCAGAGAGGATAGTGTGTACGCAGACCATACCCCTACCTTGAGAAGGTAGAGAGGTTGTTTTCGGTAGACATTGGGCTAAAAACTAACAAGATTGTAACATTATAATAATAAGACAATGTTGTCACATTCTTCATACACTAGAATTGTGCCAATTTAAGACAATTTAGTTTTTAATGCGTGAAGTAACTAGAATACTGGAAGGATCTGACATACACGCATAAAACTGTAATGAACTTGTCAGCATACTACTTCAGCAAAAGCTATGGTTTTCAGTACATGATACCACACAATTATAATGTAACTTGTGTTGGCATCATGAAGCCTATGATAACTTATGTATGAGATCATCATTGATGCTCTGGCTAGCAAATAGTTTCTGGCATAATTTACCAGTCGGATCTTCCTACGTATTACATCCTTATCAACTAATTCTTTAGGATATAGAGGTAGAGTCTGATCAAGTCAATGTCAATATTAATCATAAAGTCTAACTAAAACTCGAAGAACTCCAGTTTTTCCTCATCTAGCTAGTTCTAGGTAAGACAGCGGATTCAGGATTTGAAGCTTACAGGTTCGGGATACTAATCCTTTGAAGTTACTAGGTTTTAAATTTATAATTTGTTCAAACTACATGGACTTTTAGGATTGAGCAAAAGTTAGTGGATTCTGCCGAACCCAAACCATAAATAGTACATCCACCCCCGGGTTTCATGATGGCGGGAACCGAATGGAGACAACAACAGTAAAGGAAACTAAAAAATATAAAGATAGAAGTAAGCTCCTAAAGTGAATTCAAATAGAAAAAAGTAAGGTGTAAGAAAAATTACTCCCTGTTTAGAATCAAAGAAGAACCACTATACGTTGTACACACAACCATTATACGTTATACACACAATTTCACAAGCTAGAGTAAATGGGTTTAGAGTCAGTAGAATTATACGTTATCCACAACTTTTTTCAAAAAAATTGTTTTTTGTAGCGGTGATGTCCAAGCCAACTTACGCATAGCTCAACTACTCCACCAGATACCTACTAACTCCCACCAGCATCAACATTGGGTTACTCTACAAGAGGTGAATTAAGAACTTGAACCTTATGGTTCGAGCTCGAAATTCTACCACAACCCATTTGATTTAATGGGTTCGAAATCTATAATTTGTATTTTATAATAAATGTTTTAACACATATAAAAGGTCAAAGCTAATTCCTCTTCTACATCTACCCTTGATTTACTCTGCTCACCAAGTCTTAGACAGATTGGAAGAAATCAAATACTATATAGATAGTTTATCCAAAAGCATTTCTCATTTATATTGCTTGGACATTTCAAAAATAATGTCAGGGTGTGTCGGATCCTTCAAAAGCTATGCAATTTTCCGAGTGTCCAAGCAACATAGGCCGATTAAGAACTTGAACTTTATGAGTTCGAGTTCAAGATTCTACCCCAACCCACTTGATTTAACGGATTCAAAATCTATTATTTGTACTTTATAATAAAAATTTAATGCATATACAAGGTTTAAGCTAATATATATCCTACATCCGCCCCAGATTTACTCTGCTCACCAAGTCTCAGGCAGATTGGAAGATATCAAATGCTATGTGATTTTTTTAAAACTGGAAAAGTTTGAACCATTTCTCAATTTGTGTGTGTCATCCTTGCTCAGGGGTCATGTTAATCCTCTCTGTATCGTTCCAATTTTATCGAAGGTACACATACTATGTGATTTCAATTTCGATTTCGATTTTGAGTATCCAAGCAACATAGTTTCTCATAATGTAGATCCACCTTCTTTCACAAATCAAAAAAACAAGTTATTCAGCTATAACTTGCTGCAGAATTTCAGCAAACTTATCCAAAAAAAAATTAAAATAGTAATGTAAAGTCAAACACTCAAAACTACAACACTGAGTATAGATCTAAGCAACAAAAAGGAAAAAAAAACCATTAGTGTGAATTACCTGAAGAAAAAAGTTATTAACTCTGTTGAAACTTGTGCTTCTTTAGTGAAATTGAATGAATATCTTGAATCTTCTTAACAGTAAACTGTACATTCGATTTCTTCATCAAAAAAGAAGTGCAGATTCACATTTGGTTCGTATAAGAATATCAGATATTCATAGAGTAATCTGCTGTTGCTTTCAAGCTTCGTTGACAATTTTAATGGCGATTATCATTGCCTCATTATTTTGTTACTCCCTCCGTCTTTATTTTATGTGGCACTTTTCATTCACGGTAAGTTTTTCATAAATTCTTTTAACATTTCAATTAATAATTACTATGACTTACAGTACCTTTTACGTAGTTTACAAATATATAAATTTTATTTCAAAAAAATTGAAAATTTCATATGCAAATTTCTGATCAAAGTTAAACTGTTTGACTCTCGAAAAACAAAAAATGTCACATAAATTGGGACAGAGGAGTATAATATACTCCCTCCATCCCATTTTATGTGGCAACATTTGACCGGGTACGGAGTTTAAGAAATAAATAAAGACTTTGAAATGTTTACCAAATCGCCCCTTAAAAAATAAGTCATATTAAAAAGTAGACTCACTTTTCTCTCTCTTCATAAATGTATTAGAGTATTATCTTTAAGATTAAGTGGGACCAACAAGAATAAAAGAGGAATTGTACCTTTAAATATTTACCATATAAGGAAATGTGACATTCCTTTTTAGACTAACCAAAAAGGAAATTGTGCCACATAAAATGGGATGGAGGGAGTAACAAATTTAGATGTAGACATTTTGAATTAAATAAACTTGTCAAAGAAAGAAAGAAGCTGGCAAAGTGGTCCCATTCGTTCGTTATCCACGTTAGAGTCCGATTCTATTCGCACAAGGGAATTCAAATCCGATACCTCTTAACAGGATAAAGGAGTACTTACTACTATATCACAAACCTTGTTGGTGAGTGCCTTACTTTCCTTTGTTTTTATTGTTTTGATTATTACTCTCTTCGTTCAATAATAGTTATCCACTTTACTAAATCAATGGATAATGTTATATTTAGTTTCTAATTTACCCTTATAATTAATTATAGTCATTTCACTATTACATTTTTTAAGACATTCTATTTATTATATTTAAAGAGTGATATAGTAAAATTACTCTTCTATTTATAGTTTCTTAAAAAGTGTACAAAAATAATATTGGACAAGTATTATTTGACAAAGAGAATACATTATTTTGTTGTTATTATTTTCGTATTACTTTATTACGGTATATTTTTCACTATCATTTTTTCTTTTTATTATTACTTTAATTTGTTGTATTTGAATCGACGATCTTTCGAAAGCAACTTCTCTATCTTCGCAGGATAATCTTTGTATTATAAAGAGATAGCCATCCACGTGAAAAGCTAATAAAAAATATTGTAGCTTGTCCATCTTAAAATATTTGTATTACATTTTGGAATAGAATAGACGGAGTTAACGTTATTTGGAGCAGCTCGTCCATTTGTGAGCGAAATGTTCATTTTTTTATCTGTAATTTTAGGGAGAAACTTTTTAAATATGTAATACACATAAAATATTCGTTTATAGTCCAGACTCATACATTCTAGTTTTGATTAAGTTTTTAGTTGTTAATGTTATTTGGTATGTTTTCAAGAATTTTTTATTAGAATTCATGTATACTACATATTATTTTGTTAAATGTATTATTACAGAATAACCAACAACTAAGTTACGAACAAGGTGAAGAGAACTCCAGTAGTTCTTTGAGGACTGAATTCATATATGTGTTCAAATACAAGAATAACATATGGCTAGGGGCGAAAGACCGGCCAAAAATTCGCTAGATGCACATAATACCTAATATTCATGAAATATAACACACGAAAAATGAAAAAAAAAATCTATTTTTTATTTTAGGCCTCGTTTGAACTTGTAAATATCAACATTTTTTTCCTCCGAACCAATGCACGATATTGAATAGGTCGTCACAAACGGCCACAAAAAATGCATTTTTGTATAATTTAACGAATAAAATACTTAAAAACACTAACTTTGAAAATATCATGCCAAAATTTGATGTCAACAACTTGCTCATCTTTTTTATAATCGATGAAAGAGATCTTGATCAAACAAAGTTGACGAACTCAATTTTAATTTGATAAACTTTGAACAAAATGATATGATACGTTAGTAGAGCTTTAGAACAATACCCTACGTCTGTCAACGTAGCTAAAGATGATAAACAAAAAGATAAGGATTGATCAAAAACTAAAATCATTTACATACCTTCAAAATTGCACACTAAAGATTGTGCACCTCTTTCAAATTGTGTACACCTCTTTATGGTCAAAATAACAAGCGGGATCCTATATGAAATGTCTAAAATGAATATCGCTCAGTGAAAGTGTCTAAGTCAAACATTGTGCCAACATTAGGCGGTCATCGATGGGTTAGACCCCTCTTTAATAGGAAGACGATGTGAACAACATGTCATTTTGAACAATGTAACAATTTAACTTATCTCTTAAAAAACGGACAATCCAATTTTAATATAACATGATTTTGAATGTATTTTTCATATTATTAGCCTTCTTATGAAAAATTAATAATTAAAAAGCAAAAATTGCACATTTAATAGATTTTTTTTCTTCAAAATATACTTCTGTAATAACTACAAATATAAAAAAGTCAAATCCAAATACCCTACTTCTTTCTTCTCTGTAAAGAGGGTTCCTCTTCTTCAGCTTAAACCCTAGCAATGTCTGCTATTGCTCGATCGAAATCGCGCATTTTCTCCATAATTTCAAGGAGTAATCGGCGATTTTCTTCAACTGTAGCTTCAGAACCTCCAAAGGAACCGATAATTTCATCGTCTTCTCTGCTCAAAGATCAGGCTCCGCCATCTCAGAATCTTCCTCCTCCTACGGAATCTTCTGTAGCTGAGAAGAAATCATGGAGTTTTCTCAAGTATAGTGTTATTGCTGCTGTTACCGGTGGTGTTGCCACAGCTGGTTACGCTACCTACGGTTCGTTTTTTGTTTTTTTTGTTTGTTTGTTTGTTTGTTGAATTAGTGCTTTTGAACTGTGTGCTCTGTTATTTGAATTCGCATTTGCATGCTAGCATGATTTGGATTTTGAAATGAAGTGAAATGGATATATAGGATTCTTATAACGGGACCTCAACTATTTTGTACTCTAGCTGGTTGATTGATTACCTCGACTAATTCCACGGGATACCTCCCACCTCCTACCAGCAACACTTAACCCTGTCCACCAAGGCTAGGACAGATGGGAAGCAATTACCTAATGTTTTGGTCTCTACTATGATTTGTACAGGGGACTTTATGGTTCTCATTTCACTTTATTAACCTCTAGGACATACCCTTGGGTGCTACATGAGCTTCTTCTTTGTATTTGCTATGTATGTGAATAGAGTGATTTGTGAAGCAGTTTGATAAAAATTCCTGCAAGAGTTTGCAAAGTGTAAGTATTACCTGCTCAGGTACACCATACACGTGTTTTTTTCGGGTTTCTAAATTGTGAAATATGGATTTAAACACTTGAGTTATATGGATTTGGATTGAACTCTAATGCAAACTCTGAAAGTTTCAATTTTTTGGTCTGATATTGTAAGAGTGGAGTTTGATGCTTCTTGGGAGGATTTGGAAGTATTCATTGTGCAGTGCTGTAGCAGCAGCACTTGCTTAAGTGTTGCATCTTAAATTTTGGTGATCTGAATCTAAGAAAATTCAGTGAAAATTGCCAACTTCCAGAAAAAACTGAACTTATTGTTTCCAGTATTATCCATTCAACTTTGGATCTTGCAATTGTTCTCATCTCCCTACAACTTTTATTTGCATAGTGATGTAGTCATACCTTTATAACTGCAGTTAGTCCTCTCCATGCGAAGTTCCAGCTATGAAGCAAGTATTACTGTGCAGTTTCTAGCTAAATTTTTATCTGATATTTGATAACATGTTTGCTGGAGGAAGCAGAACTCTTTTACCAAATCAGTTGTAGTATGCTTGATTTTTAGTTTATGTTGATCAAGGTGGATTTTGGTCTAGAAATGGACTTATATGTTTATATAGATCGTCTCTGTGGAAACACAGAAGTATGGGATGATTCTTGGAAAGCCTAGTTGGTCTGGTTTATTCATCAAATGTGTATTTGTTATCGTACATATAATTCCGCAATCTTTGACATATCCTTTATCTACAGCATACACAACGGATGAAATTGAGGATAAGACCAAAAGTTTGCGTGAATCTGCGAAATATGCTGTTGGAGATGATGCATCTGCTTTGGATGTGAGTCTTGCCTTACATATATTGAGTATTACATATTTGCTTATTGTGAACTTTTGGTGAAGTTGTGCTTGTTTGAAATTAAGATTTTGACACACACATCAGTACAGACATATATATTCTGCTTGATGTGGTGGCGGGGGAAGGTTGCTCTACTTATTGCTAATTCAGTAAATGCACTTAGCTTCAACTTGATTCATGTTCACCGTTTGTGCCTACTTCTGCAACAAATAGCTAATCATGGATTGCTCAAAATTTGAATCGGAATCTAAATGAAATGATAGAATATGTTAATAAATTTAGAGCCCACATCACATACTAAACTAATAAACAGCCTATAGAGTATATGGCTTATCTTATATGCGTGGGTTCTTCTTTTACTTCAAAAGAAATTGGTAGTTGTATTAGAGTGCTAGTAGAATGAGAGGTTAATTGTTTTCCTTTCTGTGCAGAAATTTCAAGCTTTACTATACTCCTCGGCGATGACAGGTTGGTGATGATTCATACTTGTCTTCGGTACATATATCTTAGTTTAGTCAAAAAGGGGTTGAGTTTTCTTATTTGTGTGGTTCCTTGTCCACATGCATGTCAACAATAATTATGCTATCACAAACCATTGTCTCTATTGTATAACACTTACCGTTTCTCGGAGAGAAAACCATTGTCTTTATCGTATGTATTATGTACTATCATTATAGACATACTCTTGTTTTCAACCATGCTTTTCCATTTTAATGACACAATTCAAGCATTAGTTTGTTATTATTTACTTTGCATGGCATTTCTGTTACCTGGTCACTGGTCAGTACATTGTGGCATGCAAAAGCCTGTAATGAATTCAGATTATGCGCTGTGTCATTTTTGCCACATGAAAGTATCGGCTCCTGGGGATGTCTGTCCTGCACTTTGTAGAGTGTGACTAATTTATGGGTCTGTCCATGCATTGACTTATTGGGGCTTATGATTTAAAGACACAGCTGTTGAGGTAGTCCATGGGTTTATTTATATTACACATCCCACAGCTAGTATGCTTAATAATCTGCTGGGCTTTGCTGAACATTCGCATGCTATAATACGTTTTTTTTTTTTTGATAAAGGCTATAATACGTTTTCTTAATGCTGGTGTATAGTATTAGCTTACATGCATTCCAAACTTAATTGTTAATTTTAAGCCCCAATATCTCTTTTTAACTGATATTTGTTCTTTTTTTTATATTTCAGTGCCTGCCAAGTTAGTTGAGTTATACATTGAGCTAAGGCGGTTGACAGAAGATCAAGTTCGAGTTGAGTTTTTTAACAGGCATTTTTAGTTTTTTAATCCCTTTCTTCTTATGCTTCATCCTTCAGGAAATTCACCTAAGATTTTTTTTGCTATGTTTTAGGGTTTTAGTGAACCAACATCAGACAAGCTCCTGCCAGATTTGCACCCACTTGAGCAGCATGTCTTCACTCTTGTTCTTGATCTTAGTGAAACATTGATATACTCTGATTGGAAGGTAGAAATCCAAGCCATAAACATATTGTTAATTAGTGGCCTGAACTTGCTTTACTTTATTTTATGGATCAGTTCTAGTACAATATATTGACGTTTCCTTATGGGTTTTCCTTCTGATATAGCTTTGTGTCCTCAAAGCATTCAAATCTTTTCACCTTTTAATATTTCCTGCATGACTACTGACTTCTGTAATCCTTTATAAGCGTGACAGAGGCTGGAGAACATTCAAAAGACCTGGGGTTGAGGATTTTTTGGAATATTTGGCTCAATATTTTGAGATCGTTGTATACTCTGATCAACTAAGCATGGTACCTTTTACTTCTCTCATAATGTCTTCTAAATATTGTTTCAGTTATGTGCTTAAAACTTGTGCTTATGGTTTTTGTAGTATGTTGATCCTGTTATCGAAAGATTGGATCCAAAGCACTGCATCCGGTACAGGCTATCAAGAGGTGATACTAGATATGTTGATGGCAAGCATTTCAGAGTAGGTCTTTTTGGCCTCATCCTCTTAATGCTCCAGTGAAAATTATATTTCTTATTATTTATATTTGTCCTGTTGCTACAATGTCTTTAGTGATTCCAAATCTCTTTTTCTTGTTATTTTTCTGCCACTGTATTTGGATTGAACCAAGAAATAGTGCCATTGTGGGTTTTATGTCATTCTTGTAAGAATGGAATTTTTATTGCCCAGAATTCTCGTTCCCCCACTTTCATATACTTCTTTTTCGAAGTCTTAGCTCCAAACGATTAGCTACTAGAGAACACTATTTCTAGAAGGGTTTTTTAGTTGTAATGGTGCCCTCCGGCAAAAAGCTTACGCTTTCTGTTCACAGCGTCCTTGCCCCCACCTAAGAGTTGAGAGCTTATTTCAAGTTACATGGTACGGAAAATGTGGTTTGTATGTCCCTAGATGGGAATTACAATGGAGATGGGGAACCCCATTTATAGATTCATACTTGGGAATGTGGCAAGGGAGAGGATAATTAACCTGGCAATACGGGAAAAATTGAGTTGATTGACTAAAGTGAAATTATTTCAGCTCTCTGAAGTTATTGACCGATCAAACATCAGAGTACTATGTTTGGTCCAATAGAAATAGAACGTAACGAAAACTTCCAGTTTAACTAATTGACACAAGTGAATACGCAAAACTAGGCACCCAAAGGTATGACCCAGTATTCAATGACGTGAGAAAGACCTTGGAGACTAGGGTTCAAATCCTAGCAAAAACAAAAGAACACGAGGTTCTTTCTGCCCATCTGCCTAGGTCTTAGTGAGCAGAGTTTACATGGAAATGTGCTTGTGGAGGGTCGTAGGTTTAGCTAAAATGTGTGCAAAACCTAAGCACCACCGTTATTAAATACTCATAAATTAGAGAAAATTATCATGATTATTGCAAGTCCTTGGCAATAATTATGTTCGACACTGTACGTTGGAGGGACTTTATTCACTCGGAGGGGAAATATTTCTAATCATTTGATCTGTTATAGCATACCTTAACATTCTTGGAATTGAGACGCTGTAGTAGTTGTTATATTTGATTGACTATGCAAGCAAACAAAATAGCACATAGAAATTAATTTACTGTGAGGACACATTGGGGTTGTTTGGTTGATCATATTGAAATAGTTACTCCCAACATAAATCCCACTAAGATAATACAATTTTCCGTTGACTGCATAAGAAATATAATCGCTGCATGACTAATGCAACATTTGGTTAGCGGTATTAAATAATTCCTGCATTAATTTTTTGCGGGAATTCGTGTATACTTGGTGCGAGATAGAACATGGAATATAAAATTTGTATTAGTAATGCATGCATAAAATTATTTGAAGACAAAAATGCCTTCTCAAAGTAATCCGTCATGTATAACAATCTCTATATTATTATTCACCACATAAATAATCACTGCGTTGTAATCCTGCATAACTAGTATGCGTCCCAAACGGCTCCTTAATCTATAGATTCATTACTATTATTATTATTATTATTCTATGACTAGAAATATGGGAACAATACTAAGACCCATTACTTAATCAGTTAGCAAATGGAACTTCTTTTGAGACTCGAGCGTTGATTTATTAATATAATTATTACTGTGAGCACATCACCATTGGTCTTGTGGTAGAATAGTACACTGCCATGGTACAAGCCTATGTTCGTTTTCCAAATGGTGCACTCCTTTTTTCTACTGATTTTGATATGCTTTATTTGAGCCGAGGGTCCATCAGTAACGACCTCTCTACCTTCACAAGGTTGGGGTAAGACTGCGTAAACACCACCATTCCGCATCCCACTTGTGGGATTACACCAAGTATGTTGTTGTATTGTGAGCACATTTAAATGGTGTTTGAATTGACTTATTTTAAGTAGCTTTTGGCTTTTAAGCTTTTATTTTTTATTTTTGGAGGTGTTTGGGAAAGACAAAAAGTGCCTTTAAGCACTTACTTTTAGGCCAGAAAACTACAAAAATTGGGTATGACCAACGTACAACTTTTATCCTTTATCTTGGAAGTTACTTAAAAAGGCCGATCCAAACTCCCCCTTAGTCACTAGACTCATTTCTAGATTATTCATATGACTAGAATGTGGAGACTAGAAAATTATACTATCTAAGAGGCAAAATAGAGGAAGTAGAACCTGTCCAAACTCTGTTTAGTTAATAGCTAATCCTTGACTGTCAATGTTGTTTTAATGTGGCAATTTCAATAGAAATTACCTTTACTTGATTTAAGAAAAAGGGATGCAGTCTTGTAGCAGCATGAGATAGATGTTGTAGTATATGGTAAGTATTTGATTAAAATCAAGGGTACAGTATAATGAAGAGCAAAAGATGTCTTAGATATGTATGAGTAGTCTAACTAATTTTTGTGACAAGTATGTATTGCTTTTATGCATTTGCTTCATGGATAATCTCCAGTGTAATTATGTTGTATCTCCTTTTTTGGTCTTCTACTGAAGAAGAGGGGGTGGGGTGGGGTGGGTGGCGGGGATTGCTTATAGGAACTTAGGGGAGACGTGATCAGGTTAGAAAGAATCAAGAGGTATGCAAATTAAACAGGTCACAACTAGTTCTTTTAGGAAGGCTGAAGGAGACAAATTCAGATACATGATTGAGGATGTAAAGTTCTCCTGTGGCTGTTTTGTATAGTAAAATGGATAGATTCTGTTTTTAGATCCCACTGAGTTTATAGCTAAAATGCCCTGCTGATCCAGGACCAAATCTGCTATCCTTGTGGAAGATTGTTACATGATACATTAACATTTCGAAGAGTGAATTAATGTTTAATATTGGCGGGGATTGCTTATAGGAACTTAGGGGAGACGTGATCAGGTTAGAAAGAATCAAGAGGTATGCAAATTAAACAGGTCACAACTAGTTCTTTTAGGAAGGCTGAAGGAGACAAATTCAGATACATGATTGAGGATGTAAAGTTCTCCTGTGGCTGTTTTGTATAGTAAAATGGATAGATTCTGTTTTTAGATCCCACTGAGTTTATAGCTAAAATGCCCTGCTGATCCAGGACCAAATCTGCTATCCTTGTGGAAGATTGTTACATGATACATTAACATTTCGAAGAGTGAATTAATGTTTAATATTGACAGTGAGAATAGAAACTTAGTAAGAGTCTAGACACTTGTATAGTTCTTGAACCATGCATAGCCGGAAGGCTTGAGCTTTTGGGTTAGTTATCAAACATAGAGCATTTGTCTTGTTTTTTTAGTTAATGTGTAAATGCATGCTTTCTTCTCAATAGGCCTTTTGACTCTTTACCTTAGCCCATTGGAAACGTTCAAATCACATATAACTTGGTCGGAGGGCTTGACTTAGTACGACCTGCATTGAATCTCATCTCCCGTCATCCATGTAATGTGAATGTTTCTACATGTGATTGCTTTAGTTTCTGTACATTCTACGCGATATGCTTTAGATTCTACATGAAAATCTAGAAGAAAGATTTCTCTTGTTTTTAAAAAATAAATAAAATACATTTACACATCTTTTTCCCCTTTTGAATTCCTCGCAAATAATAATGATTGTGAATCCCATTTTGGCTCATTTGCTTCTTTTGGCAGGATCTTTCCAAGTTGAATCGGGATCCCTCAAAGATAATATATTTGAGTGGACATGCACTAGAAAGTAGCCTACAGCCAGAAAATTGCTTAGAAATAAAACCATGGAAAGGAGAGGCTGACGATACTGTGCTTTTGGATCTTATTCCATTTCTTGAATGTAAGTAGATTCTTAAGTGACGCTGCCTAGTTATGTTTTTGTTTTTGGGAGTATTAGGAGGTCCCTGTTAATGACTACTTGATTTGAGTGCAGACGTTGCTAAACACAGGCCAGGTGATATCCGAGCTGTATTAGCTTCATACCAAGGATGTGATATTCCTAAAGAGTTCGTTGAGCGATCCAAAGAGCACCAAAGGTCATGTTTCCCATGTTGTATTTATCAGTTCTTACTGGCTATTCTATTGTATTACAAATCCTCAACACCCCGTGTCTTAGGATGCTTCTAATTTTTGTCTTGAATTTTACTCATGAAGTTTGCCTCTTCATATTGTTCCCCTTCCCTTTTCCCCTCTGTCCCTCGAGTCAAATAAATGTTAGGAATACAGGTCTACTTCTTTATTAGTATATGGGATTGGGGGAGTGACTAGAGGGGGGTTTACAGGTGTAATCCAACTTCATCTCGTACATTGGAAACATAAAATGTTTCTTTGCCCCACAGTCCCGGATAATTGTAGCCATTTGAGCTGTGACTTCTATATTCTCGCCTTTTAGTTTCCTTTCGAGTTACCACCCCCCCCTCCCCCCCAAGGAGTGAGGGATTGATGGATTTTTCCGTATCTAGTATTTGCGAGAGAGGTGGTAGTTTTAATCCACCCCCACTTAAAAAAAAAATCTTTAAAAAAAAAGCAAAAGAGAGAATGGAAAGAGTACTAGTGGGAAACTTATCTGAATAAAATGATAAGTGGATTGAATGAGCTTCAAAAGGCTTTGAATCTCTAGAGGCACACATTATTTTTCCTTGGTTCCTGGCTAATTTATCTGGAAATGTATTCATCTAGTTTGTTGGGTAAGCTGTGTATTAGAGTCACAGTGGATAATTCTGTTCACTGTATTTTTGTTTGATTGCGTATTTGAGATTTGTTGTTCCCTAAATTAATTTCTGTAATATCAACTTACTATACTTCGCAGTCGAAGGTGGTTTGTCTCAGCAAACCTGTCTTCTTTTCAAGCTGCAAACTATGTGCCTCCTACTATATTTACATCTTCACTCTTTGCTTTAGTAACTTTTATTTCATAACCTCCAACTTGCACCTTTCCTATTTGTGCACTTTAATTTGTTTTTGACCCCTTATTATAGTTGGTGTCTATGTTGCTCGAACTCCCCAAAAATATTGCAATAACCGTGTCGGAACCTTAAAAAATGCACTACCTTTGGAGAATTTGACACACAACCATCGACATTTTTGTTTTGCCTGAACTACATAGATTTGCCTCAGCCAAACCTCTTTTCTTCGAGCTGCAAACACTATTGCATCTTCACTCTTCTGTAATAGTATTTCTTTCATATTTGCGAATATGTGCCATTCCTATTTAAACATTGTTTTTCTTGATGGTCTTAACGGTGGATCTGGTGGTTGCAGGCGTATTCAAGAGCAAAAGCAGCATGGTCGATTATGGCGCCGCTAGAGATATGAGTTGGTTGGTTTTGAGAGGCATAAATTAAAAAAAGAACCTAAAAACTATTCCTTTGTAAGATTTAGAATAGTTGATAGATAGACGTAATACTCTACAATCCCATTTTTGTGTAGCCAAAATATTTGTGCCAGTTGAGAGTAGTTGATCCTCTAACAACATGCCTGTATTTTTTTTCCCTTTTGATATTCTCTTAGTAATAATCAAGAATGTCAATGTTTTGTGAGCAGCTAGTTGATTCAGTATGTATTTTTCTCTGAATTTCAAGACAGTAAGATTGCATCATATGATTCACAAGATTTATTTCTATGGAAGATTGACCACTATGGTATTTTTTTCTAGCGGTAAGAGTGCAATACATGGTGTGTGGGTTACGTGCATGTGAGGGTTCCAAGTTGCTTTCGTCTGCTTGATATTTAAGTGGAGAAGAGTATGAGCAGATTGGTAGATTCATTATTAATCGAGTTTTTAGTTATCCTCATTTGAAGTATGAGGTTGTCCTTTCTCCTACTCATAGAGACACAATTAGCTAGCGTTTTAGCTATAGATTTTGAAAATTTAGCTTTAAATATCTGTTTAGTCATGAAATTTGATCAGATTTATTTTATCTTCAAATATTCTCACGTTCCTAAAAATTGGTTAAGACTAATCTTTAGACTTGTACTCACAAAACTTTAAAGATTCTTTTAAGTTGAATGTATGTATGAATATAGCTTCAATTTTTCAATAGCGATACTTTTGAGGTTTGATTATCAAAGATATAATACTAAATAAACACTCAAATTTACAAGTAAGCAGTTAAATTTTGAGTACGTACATTTAGACACCTCAACTCATCTCTATTATAATAGTTGAATACTCTAACTTAAAAAATAATTATGTAGATACATCCAAAAAAATTTATGTTGCCCAACATCGTATGTTCATGAAATACATCAAAGACGAGTTGGAGTGATTACTTGCTCGTTCAGACCAAATTGAGGCATTTAGATATGCACTCGTAATATTGGAGTGTTTACTTACGCTTAAGTCAAATATAAATATCTATTTATGTATTATGTCAATTATCAAACATAACAATAATTTTGATAAATACCCAAAGTAGTGAAAGTTCAAGAAAATAATTAGAAAATTAATTCAAATGTTGTCCAAATGGTAGGTAAATAAATTTGGGCCTAAGAAGCAATAAAAAAGGAAAAATACATAATGAGGATAAGCCTTACACAGAAAATTGTATAGTTATTTCTCTTCTTCGGATAAGCCTTAAAACACAGAAAAATTCAAGAAGCTCCTAAGAAGGAGAGCTCCAATCTCCATTAGAGACCAAATTCGAACTCAAAATCGAATTTTAGCGAATACCCAAATGGCGATTTCATCGTCTTCATTGTCAGCAGCTCTTTTTCCAGTGTGTAATTCATCTTCCATTTCTGCTCAACCCAAGTTTTCTCTTCTGTCTTTGCCTTCAAATTCTGTTAAGTTACAGGTTTTCAACCAATCTCGAGTGTCAACAACTAAGGTTTTTGCTTCTCCTGAAGTCTTGGATGCCCAGAATGTTGAGGCTGATGTTGAGGTTTGTAAATTATTTGGGCTATTTTCAGTAGACTATACTGTGTGTTAACATAAAAAAAATGCTTTCTTTTTGCTGAATTGTTGTTGGGTATTCGTTATTTTGCTGAATTGTTGCTGGGTATTCCGTCTTTTTTACTGAATTGTTGCTGGGTATTCCTCATTTTGCTGAATTGATATTGAGTATATGTCATTTTGCTTTCTTTATAGGATATTCCAGCTGCTTCAACACTGAGTATTGGTGGTGACTCTGATAAGGTAAACTTTTTCTCTTCCAGTCCTTTTATTTTTTAATTACTAACTGTGGTGTCTGGACCAACTTGCCTGCACTTGGTACCTCCGGGAAGCACAGGTATCGGGTAACTCGGGTAACTCTGTCCACCAACAAAGGCAAATGTATTATAGAGCCAACTACTATGATGTTGAGTATAAATATAAATTTTGTAAAAGTTCACTAAGATTTCAACAATTAGTAGGTCTTAATCCATAACTTTTAAAATATTGTAGATTCGATGCCAAAACCCATAGAGTTCAAATCCTGAATCCACCTATATATACCAAGGCTTGGACAGATGGAAAAAGTCACCTAGTGTGTTTGCCTATCCCAAATTAGTTGAGTTTGCCTATACGAATCTTGTGTACACATTCACCACTATTAAGGTGGTGTGGAGAGGATTCATTGGAAGTAGACTATTTTAGTGAATCTATCTCAATCCGTAACCTTTATTGGCTTGGGACACTGCTGTGCTTTGTGAAGTTCACATAGGCAGTGTTTTTAGGGTGATGCTCGATGACTCGTGCTTCATTCTGAGATTTCTGCATTGCTTTATGTTATCTGCATTTTGTTTCTATCTAAGAGAATATAGTCGAGAGTTTGCCGATGTATTATGACTAAGAAGATTCCATTCTAACCGTTTATCTTTCATGTAGAAGTTTACACACTAGACAAGTGTTAGGAATCAACCATTTACAGTTTGTACAGTATTGGTGTCTGTAACTGATCACTTAAGCTTATTTTGTTTGTGTTGGTGTGTAATACATTTTTTTTAAAAATTTTATGCTGCAGCCTTAATTGAGATGGATACTTCTTTTTAGTTGGTAACAGTTATGAAACAGGATAGAAACTGTATGGTTGTCCATAGTTAATGGAATATTTGTTATTTGTTTTCTACTTTGTGACCTTAAAATGTATTAGAAATGATAACATTTTTTTGCTTAGTACTGACAAAAGCTAGCCTCATGGCTGGAGGAGAACATGGGGACATGAAAAAAAGAATAGTTGTGACATGCAGATTATCACATCAGAAAACTACTGTCTATACCACTTAGTGAAGTAAGGCTAAGATTCACTTGCAGTGAATTGGAAGTTTCTTATAGGGAAATTTGCAATGATATAATAATCTACTCAACAGCCAGACAACTTTTGATAAATGAGCATTCAAGTTCTTCACTGTTAGATTCCTCAAGTTGGTGATTGTGGAACCAATTGGTCTTCCTCCGTTACTGAAAGTCTTAAATAACCTTGTAGTGGATTGATTTATCTCTTAGCCATCTCCTCTGAGTATTGTATGCGTTGAATATTTTTCTCCTAAGAACTTCTGTTGATGCATCAAGAAGCAAAAGGACAGAAATTTGTCTAATGGATAAAGCATGTACGAGCTACATCTGATGCTTTTCGGACCTTTCACTACTGTATTGGGATGCTTCATTATTATAGTAACCAAGGCCATTAATATTACTACTAGTGTACAATCCTCTTCAAGGATAAATTTGAGTTGTATTCCTCTCTGGCTAGTATTACCATTGATCAGAAAATATTATTGGTTGAAATGTTAACTTCTATCAAGACTACCTACATAAAGGTTTGATTAAAGCAATTTTTTTGTTCACTTGTTTGCTTGATGGTAATTCTGTTCAGCTTATGAATTCTAAAAGAAAATCCTTGAAGCATTTCTAGAAGTCCATGTAATCTGAAAAAATATTAGAATTATAATGAAACTGGAAGGGTGGTGGGGTTACACAGGGGTATGTTGTTTTAATGAAACTGGAAAGGTCATTGCAGATTCCGCCTATAACTCTCACTTAGTTATGAATTTTAAGAACAGGCTTCCTCAATTTATAAGTTTTATCTTTGGGAGTCCTTGGAAAGCTGCAAAAATATTATTTCAAAATTAGCATGGACTTGGAAAGGTATTGTTTGATATGCAAGAGGTGTAAGCACCATGAGGTGTGAAGCAATCTCGGGCTTCTCCCTCTAACTCTTGGATACTTATTCAGTATGAGTTAAATCTATGAACTAAGCATCCAGTGGCTGTTCTAGTTCAGCATTAAGCTGGTAGTGGCTGTGTAGTATCAAATTTTACTAGCTCTAGTTAGTATAAAAACGTGGATATTTCTCTCTAATTATTGTTGGCATCATCTAACAATCTAAACATATTTACAGGCAGCTCCAAAGCAGAAGATTAGGATCAAATTGAGGTCATACTGGGTACCCCTAATAGAAGACTCTTGTAAGCAAATTATGGACGCTGCAAGAACGACAAATGCAAAAACCGTAGGTCCTGTACCACTGCCCACCAAAAAGAGAATTTACTGTGTCCTCAAATCTCCACATGTTCACAAAGATGCCAGGTTCCATTTCGAAATAAGAACTCATCAACGCCTTATTGACATTCTTTACCCGACTGCCCAAACTATCGACAAGTTAATGCTGCTTGACCTTCCTGCTGGTGTTGATGTGGAGGTCAAGCTCTGAGAAAATTGTTTCTCCTCCTTGTTTCACATCGTAACCTTGTCTATCTTTTGCTAGTTCGTTTATGGTTTTGGATTTTGTACTCATAGACACACAATCATTTCTTGGGGAAAATTAGGGTAAACAGATATTTTTTTCTGTGTAATGATTTGATTACTAAGCATCTTTTCAATCTCATATCATGTTTACCTTACATGTTCACAATTTTCTTTTCGATGATACATCGCTTATTGCTTGAGAATGCTGATGTCCGTTGATGTTGAGTACTTGTCTAAAAGTAGGAATAGTCTGAATAAGAGTTGCTAGTTCTGGTTTAGAATAGAAATCACTGGTGTTTTTCCTTTCCATTACTACTTTGATTTGCTTCACTTGAGGTGAGAGTCTTTCGGAAACAATCTCTCTACCTCCATGAGGCCTAGGTAAAGTTTACGTATACTTTATCCTCCCCAGACCCCACTCTATGGGATTTAACTGGGTGTGTTGTTGTTGCCATTGTTCTTTTGGTCTTATGCATTCCAAAAGAGACTTCCTTGACAATTGTTTGATAAGTTCACATACTTTTGTCTGATTGGTAAGTTTCCAAATTATCATAAGCTTAGAGTATTTTGGTAGAGATCTATGATTCGAGTATAGGAAGCATTTTATCCTAAAATAGGACTTACAACATGAATAACTTTACCTCCTGTTAGATGTGTGGCATAAAATTACCTTTGCCTTTAGAAGAAAATCTCGTTTTTTTCCTTGGCCTCTAATAAAGCTCCAGGTTGAGAGTAATTTGAGAGTATAGTCGAAGTTGATGGGTAAATTTGGATCGTTTTACTCTTAAAGAATTTAGACACGTGGAATTCACTGATTTCATGTTGAAGCTTTATGAATGACGATTTCATGTTAAAGCTTTATGAATGACAAGAATAAATACGAAACAATTTGCTAACGATAAATAGACAAATGATAAAAATTAAGCTATTTCCTCTCCTCCAGAAAAAGTGCTATAGCTATGTGATCATTTTTTTTTATTATATGCTAGATTCCAAAGGTCTTGTGGTCCACATTTCTCATATTGGTCTCAATAAATCAACATATATTAACAAAAAGTAATGCCAACTAGTTACTTCTGAATTTTTAAAGTTCATTTTTTTATTTATTGGGAAACATAAAGTATCTTGGGAAAAAGTTTTTGATAAACCCCACTCTGAATTATTAAATACCTAAACTCATCACATGAGAAGAATAGAAAAGTAAAGAATAATAATAATATGCTAAAATATTTTGTGTTATTTAATTAGTCATCATGGAAAGACACATAGTATGATTGTGGTAGTTCTTTATTTTTTCTCTAATCGTTGTAATATTTATATTGGGATTTGATTAAATTTAAATTAATTAAAAAAAATTATATTCAGATAAAACGTTACTCACAAATATGACTTAATAATTTCATATTTAAAATTTCATCAAATATATTATCGTTGTTATTATTTTAATTACTCATAACATGTTGCATAAGATCCATTAAAGTCAAAAAAAGTTCTCTTTAGGAAATTCTTTTAAATTTCTCTACTCAAAAATATTTAATTTAAGAAATCTCATTTATTCCACTACACTAAAAAAAATCATTATAAAAATAATTACACAAGTTTATTATTCCTTCATAGCCTTCTTTGCCATATCCCTTCCTAGCCGCCACATATTCTCCTCCCTCCATAAATTTTGCTTCAATGTCCACTAATTTACTTGGATCACCATTTCTTCTCAAAAATGTACTAACAACTTCTCCTTATAACAACAATAAACTCTCCATTTTCACTATTAAAGCTTGTTTACACTCTTCAAGAACCAAAACCCCTAATCCAAACAAGTCTCAAATTGATGATCATGTCTACAACTATACAAAATATTGCACACCCAATTTCCCTGACCATGTTTCTCAAACACCCATTTCAGAAAAAGAGCTAAAAAACACCAAAAATGGTGGAATTTTGGATGATTTTGAAAAAGAGGGTGTTCTTGATTTATGGTTTAAAATGCAGGATGAGGCTAGATTTGATGTTGAGCAAGAACCCATTTTGGAAAATTACTATAAAAATTCAATCTTGGTTCAAGATTGTATGGAAAGTGCTTTGGCATACCATTTGTCTTTGAAATTGAGCAATTCAAGTTTACCTAGTTATGCCCTTTTTGAGCTTTTCATGGGGGTGTTCATAGAGGATCAAGAATTGATTTTTGATGTTACAGATGATTTAAGAGCTGTTAAAGAAAGGGATCCTGCTTGTGTTAGTTATGTTCACTGTTTCTTGAATTTTAAAGGGTTTTTAGCATGTCAAGCACATAGGATAGCACATAGGTTATGGTCTAAAGGTAGAAAGATTGTATCTTTAGTTATACAAAATAGGGTGTGTGAAGTTTTTGCTGTTGATATTCATCCTGGTGCTAAAATTGGTAGTGGGATTTTGCTTGATCATGCTACTGGTGTTGTTATTGGTGAAACAGCTGTGATTGGTAATAATGTGTCAATTTTGCATAATGTGACATTAGGTGGTACTGGTAAAGTGTGTGGTGATAGGCATCCAAAGATTGGTGATGGTGTGTTGATTGGTGCTGGTACTTGTGTTCTTGGAAATGTGAGAATTGAAGATGGTGCTAAGATTGGTGCTGGTTCTGTTGTGTTAATGGAAGTGCCTGCAAGAACTACTGCTGTGGGGAATCCAGCTAGGTTGATTGGTGGTAAAGAAAATCCAATCAAACTTGATAAAATTCCAAGTTTGACAATGGACCATACTTCACATATGTCTGATTGGTCTGATTATGTAATTTAGACTATAAGTCCGTTCTGTACGGACTTAGAGATCAAATATAATATGTTTTTCGTTTCATTTCGTGTTACATAGTTGGGATACTTAAAAGAAACTTGAGTAGATATAGGATGCACTAGAGCTAAATTGCTCCAAATCTTGTCTTCTCACTGTGAGACCAGTTGGTTTTGTTTTTTCTATATCCATATGATTTATGATTTAGAAGTATTAATCGTATTATAAAAGCAAATTTTGGATCCGTGAAGTCTCAAGAAGGTAAGTTCTCCAACTTGTCCAATGGTTCTTTCTCCAAACACGATATACAAGTGGAAACTGTACTACGAGCAAGTTGGAATTTGTCATTGGAGAGACATCAATAATTGGTAGCAATGTGTAAATTTTGCATAATGTGACATTGGGTGGCACTGGAAAATTGTGTGGTGTTAGGCATCCAAAGATTTGATGATGGTGTGTTGTCATCTTCCTACATCGCATTGCAGTTTACACAGTTGGGATACTTTAAAGAAACTTGAATACATATAGGATACACCAGTGCTAAAAACTTTTCTTTAAGATATTTTCCATACTATTGGAGTTGTCGCTCCAAAACTTGTTCTTCTTGTGTGGAACTAGTTGGTGTTTTTTTCTCTACGTCCATATGGTCTAGTAATATTGATCAAATAATAAAAGTGATCTTGGTCCATGGAGCCTCGAGAAGCCGAGTACTCTGTTTGATCTTCTTCCAAATACGATATACAAGTGAGACCTACACTTCGAGCAAGACGAGGAGGTGCTACTAAAAGCATTTATAATCATGTAATAGAGGTATAAATTTGGAAAGCATTTGGTACTTTGGTAATAAAAAGATCAACTCTGTTCTTTGAAAAGTTGTTGAATTGCATCTCATATCTATAGCTCCATCATGTCCCAAACTTCACTTGTGTGAGCTCACTTATCATGTTGGTCTCAAACTTGAATAAAGAAGGTGGATCGCGGTAGATTGATAGTCAATACAAAACAAGTTGATTTACAATGAATACTCACAATATAGAATACATAAGGATGTGCTCACCAAGCAACATATTACATCTATTACTAATTACAAGTTTTAACGAAGTAACATGAAGAATGAAGATTCACATAATCAACCTCGACTTGCTCATGATATTTAGTTGTTCTTGTTGTAGTAATACCCATCATATCAAACATTACAAGTTACACATAAGTAATATTCATCTTTTCTCTAAGCAATATGCTTCTTTCAACAAAAAGAAGAAAAAAAATGGTTAGCCATTGACGGATCCAGGATCTTCACTAATTAAGGGAGTTTGAAAAATGAAAAATGTAGTGCCTAAAATTTAAACTTGAAAGATCTAGGTGAATTTCAAATCGCCTAAACCACTGAGTCAACCTCTAGTCATTTGTTTAAGAGATTCAAAATCTATATATATACACTAAAAATAATTTATATATACCATGTAATTTTTTGTTGAGGGTATTTAGGTAAACACCATCACCCCCTCCTAGATCTGCCCCTAACTTTAATTTTATCGTTACTCCGAAACTCAAAATAAGACACAATTAGAATTTAGTGAAGTGAACTTCAAGCTTTGGTTATTATTACTTGGTAATGATGCAAACTCGATAACTTTGCATATATACTAAACAAAGATACATCAACTCTTATTGGGCCTAGTATACAAAAGCCCAAACCAAATAAAAAGGCCTGTTTTACATCCGTCGGCCCAATCCCCCACAAATATTAAATCTAGGGTTAGGGTTTCAAAATTTTATGATAAATAAAGCTGCAACTATTGCAAATTCACTCAACCTCACTAGTTATTTTCTCTCTAGAAAGTTCTGTTAATTGGAGAATTTTATTTCTCTCTATCATAAGGTGAAATCCATGTTTATTTGTTTGTTTGTTATTTGATTAATTTAAATTTGTATTGCGTACTTAGGAGTATCTCCATCCATCATATTGATTTGATTAATTTAGATTTGTATCATGTTTCCTCTTTATCATGATCCATGTTGCGTAGGTCTAATAGCACTTCTTATCATGAGTTTTTTTAATTTCATTTATTTGGTTACGTCTCCCCTCGTATTACATTTATTTGATATTTACAATTTTATTGATTTGATTAATTTAAATTTGTGTCATGCTTTTTAGCATGGTCTGTGTTGCATTGGTCATGCCCCGTTGGTATTACATTTATTTGATACATGAGATTTATTGATTTGATTAATTTAAATTTGTATCGTGTCTAGTCGTCAGAGACTTTTAATTGAAGAAAGTAGTTGGGAAATGATGAGACTATATCGATATATCAGAGGGACAGTTTATCTGTGCTTTGCTGAATAAATTTTGCACGTCAGTCTGAT